ACTGTGACAAACCCAATTTTTTAAAATTTTTGTCTCTGTGTGTGTATGTGTGTTATGAAGGAGCACAAAAATGCTTTTACCTCAGTGTTGCTCAAAGTTCTGGTTATGATTCAGACATCTCAAAATATTGAGAATAATTGCAACATCGTGTGCTGCCAGCATCTGCAGTACAAAACTCTGTGTTTTTCTCACATTTTATTTAAAAAAGAACATTTTGCACCTCAATAGCTAGTTGTGGTTTTGGATCATAAAGCACTAAGGGTTTTGATCTGTTCTGATTCCCACCCCTTCCGTCTCATTTTTCTCATGGCTTTGAACAAAATATTAATGTGACTCATCTGTCATAAGTAATTTTCATATCCTCTACCTTCTATTTTGGTGTGTGACTAGACAAAGGCTGTAGTTATGTAAAAGTATTTGTGTATTTTGTATAACAGAGGATAGGAATCATAGGTACTTTAAGTAAAAAAGAGAACAATGTCAGAAGAAAAGAGTGAATTATAAATGAAAACAACTTATATATATTGTAATCAAATGTAATAAATACTTTAAAACATGCTATTTCAATTTACTATTTCTTAGTATTAAATATCACATCTGTCATCTCTGGAACACTGGAAAAGGAAATAACAAATGCAAAAAAATCCAAAGTGAGTCCCAATTTTGATACTGAAACATTTACTGACACTAATTTGATACTGAAACATTTAGGACACTCATTATGCTTGGAGAGCTGGAGTTTGAAATTGCAAATGTCAGTTCCAGGATGTTAATGTTTTCTGGTACAGTTTAGGAAATCCTATGTAGCATGCTACTTTTAAAAGATGTAATTATCTGTATACATCCCCTGTGACTTTTCACCAGATCACAGTAGCACATCCCACAGTAGCACTTAAAAATTCACTAGAAAGCAGCACAATCAATCAGTACAGAAGTGATTTTGCTATGGAGGCATTTCCAGCAGTTGATCAGATTCTTCTTTTCTCCCTCAAACACCAGACTGAAATATTTTACTAAGTGGATCCAGTTCAATGCAAACCTCATTCCATGAAAGTCATTTGCATTTGGGCTGAATATCGAATCAGCAGAACTTAAGCATATGCTTAAAATAGAAGTTATATTTATGTGACTACTTAAATTAACCAGGGGTCATGCTGTTTCTGTGGTAAGAGAGAAAATACAGTGATTTTCTGCCTTTTTGCTTTTGTATTTCTGCACTTGAAAACAAAATGTTGTTTTCCACACCCAGTTAATATCTGCAGTCAGGAAAGTGGAAGGCAGAGGAGAGTGTGTGCTTTTTGAAAGTAAGTAGTACACAGAAAGCAAGTTCTCTCCTTTCAGCTACAGCTTTGCACGAAGTAATTCTTAAAAAGAGAGCAATGAAATGAAACTCTACCAGTCAGGAAATTCAATGTTTAAATGCTCTCTAAGAAATAGTTTCTGTCATCCTCCTCTCTTTCATATTCCCTCTGTCTCTTCCTTCTCCAAGTAGCCTTCTTGAAAGTTATTTTCTCCATAACAAAAAAGACTGCCTTGTGTTGCTTCATGTTACTCAACATCATGGCTTGTACTTGGAACTTCTCCAAATAGCCCATATATATATATATATATTATATATATAAAATAATAACACAGGGAAGACAGGGATTTTATCAGTAGTAAATCTTTCAGTAGTAAATCTTTCAAGAGATTATTTTTCTCTTGTTAAAAAAAAATTATTGCACCATTATAGGTTTTTGGTTCTGAAAGCAGTGAAGTGGAAGAATGCACATGAAGCGACTGGTCTCAGGACACGAAGAGCTGCATAATAATAATATTAGATGAATTTTAAAGAGAACATCTCAAAGTGGCCAGGAATTCCCCTCAGAAAAATCAGTGGGAGCCTGCTGAGTGATCTATTGGAGCCAGAATTTGTCTTTTTTACACTTTGTTACACTTGTAGCAACACCAGACTCTCAGCCAGGGGAATGCTTGGAGCACACAAGATAGGCAGGGGTAGCAGCCACAGTGTGGGATAGGGAAAGATATGTGAGAAAGGTAGGGATTGAATGGACTCTGTGTGGGGTTGTTTTGGGGGGACAGGGCACTTTTTCTGCTTCTAAAGTTGTTTCTTCTCCTTGTGACCCCTTCTTTTCCTTCCTTTCCCTCCTCCTTCTAGTGAGGACACCCGGAGACCTTCCCTTCACTTCCACTATCTCCATCATCACTATCTACACATTTTTCTGCTCTTTCTTGATTGTCAAGGAGGGGTCATACTAGTTTGGAGGGACAGGAACTAGGGCAGGACCAGGACAGAAAGGCAGAATCCTGCTGCTTTTGGAGGTAGAAAGGGCAGATGTGATTGCTGCTGCTGTACTGGGACCCTCTGGTACACACTGGCACTCCTTTACCCTCTCTCTAATCCTACAAAGGCAGTAACAGCAGCATGGATGGTACAAACAAGAGGCAGGAACAAGCTGTTTGGCTGAAATGCCTAATCCTTCTCTCCTCAGTCACAGGCAAAGTAGCTTGCCATCCCCTTCAGTCTGGCAGCTCGCCATTTTGCTAACTATTCAAAGCTACTTCTGACTTTGTGACTTCCCCTCATTCACACAAGAAGCTGAGCCAAAGCCCCGAACCTAAATATCTGCAACTTGGAGAGAAGCTTGTATCCTGAGCTGAACTATGGAGCACAGAGGCATCTCTAAAATGCTGATAGGGTGTAGATGTGTTCTGAATTACTGACTCATTGTTTGAAGGAGAAGGCCTGTTTGGCAGGATAAACAATGAAAAGCTACTCTTCAAAAAACTAGGAAGCAAATGGCAATGAAGTTGTGCATAATGCATTGGCAATTTCTACTCTCCGGGCTTTAGAGTCCTCTCAGAAAGGTGCCAAATACACATTTCTTTGTACAGCTCCAATGAATTGCAAATAATCCACAGCACTAGAACATTATCTCCTATTGGTTTCTGAAGTGGTCACACATCTGCTAAACTGCACCACAAACCAAACAGGGGTCTGCTTGCAAGAGATGGAAGGGGTCAGGAGAAAATCATGTCGGATTATCTACTGAAACAAAGGTGGTTTGAAGGCCAGTTCTAGATCTGGTATTGCCAGAGAACTGAGCCAGCAATCATAAAGGGATTTTTTAAAATAAATTTGACACCAGCGGCCAGAAGGCTTTGTCATCATTAATCTAATCCACGATCTAAACCAAAGGGCCTGGAAAGCAGCCAGTTACTTTCTGAAAGGGCTTTGGGCTTTGTGAGGAACGCATCCACCTGGCTGCTCATGTGGCAGCTCTTGGAGCCCATGCTGGGACTAGGTGGGCCGCTGGAGCCACCTTAAAGGGAGAAAACAGATTCCAGTCAGAGACCTGAAGCTCAAGGGATGGGTGGCAACAATGGACCCTGGAGGTACCTGGGCAGATGTTTGGAGATGTCCTTTCTGGCAGAAAATGCTACTCTGTCTAGAAAATTCAAGCTTCTTTTGTGAAAATGTACTGTTTTTACAATAATTTAATTAATTCTTTTGTCAGATCTGAAAGCGAGAGATCTCACAATAGCCCAGGTGTGGCATTCAGATGAAACAGGGTAGTGGACATGTTTCAAATGGGCTTGAATAAATCTGAGGTAGAACAGTCAAGCTACCTGCAGGTTTCCCTTGTACACCTTCCTCTCCAAATGCTTCCACCCGCTGAGATTTGCACAGTCTCATCGTGGCCAGGCCACCCAGGTCACAGCTGCCTGGGGCCCACTGAGTCCTGAGGTACAATGGCACTGCTGAAGCTCAGCTGTACAGAGCTTAGGAGCCACTGCTCTTGAGTTTTAATTTTGCCCTGGCCGATAAAATGCTAAAAGTAAACGGAGAGATACCTTTGGGTGTGTTTGACTCTTTGGAGTTACTCTGACTGTTGGGAAATCAATGTCTCTGGAGAGTGAAAACACAGGCCCAAGGTCTTCCTTGGGCCAAATATCTCAATTTTCAACCACAAAGTAAATCAGAATATGAAAAGCATCACTCTGCCTATCAAAGAGATGGTTTTCTAGTAGGCCATGGCTTCAAGTGGGATGGATGCTGAGCAGCAAGTGGAATGTGTGGTCAGCAGCTGAGGACAGGGGCTGTGCAGAGAGGCACAGGGGCCTCCTGAACTCTGATCCAGCAAAGCACCAAAGAAAGCACGTGCTCACTCCAGTTGGAGCACAGTTCTCCAGAATTCACCATCCAGGCCTGAACTCTAAATATCTCAATGGCAGCTGAACCCACCAAATCACAGAGACTCTTCTCAGTCATGTCAGTGAGAACTGGGTCAGGCGAGGCACACAGGACTTGGTAGCAGCTGCCTGAGAACAATTAGCCTATAAAAGAGATATGCATATTTTATATTTATATAGGACATTAGCATTTTCTGTGACTCCCCTTGCTAGTATTCTCACATTATGAGTGCAGTAATGCTTGGGTCCTTTGGTAGTTCCAAGCACATCATATTAATCTAAGTCTCTTGGGAACTAATGACTTTATTTGTGCATTGCATGAAAGGGTTTGTGTGTGCATTTTCAGGGGCACAACACATGTGAAGAAATATGAGATTAGTTTTTCATCTGTACTTCAAACCGATAATTTTATACCTTGTAATCTGAAAAAGTTATGCAGTGTCTCTGCAAAAGAGTGGGAACAAGGCTCAAGGCGCTTTTGAAATCCAAACCCATATTTTGATTTACAGCATAATTATCACAGGATTGCCAACAAAAACACCAAACACCAGGATTTTTAGCCCATATTCAAACTGCTACATCAGTTTTCACAAGCACTGAGTAACTAAAAAGGCTACTTAAAGTGAACGAGTTGCCAGGTTTTCATACTTCTGAACAGTAGACCTTGAATAAGTAGCCTGAATATAGAATTTAGACTATGTTAAACCACTATGTTTGAAAATCTTGGCCAATATTTCATAATATTTCTGGGGGAAAAAAAAGATAGTGTGCTCATACATTTCTTATAAGCTTTCTTTTCCCCCTAGGGACCAACTTAAAATCAACAAAGTAACAACGTGCCTAACACAAACAGGAAATCTAGGTCTCTTAAAGTGAAAAGCAAACAACCTGCCCTTCTTCTGTCCTTTCCTGAAATCTAAATGTAAGTATATTCAGCTTTGAAATCCTAAACAAATTATATGTAATGCCAAAAACAAAGTGCAAAGCCTTAAAACTGAAGTTGTCTTAAAGCTATCACTTGCTCAGGATTTCATGAGTTATTCAAGTGTTTGCTATACACCAGAGCTTTTGAATTTTGAGTGGAAAAGTATATGGTACATAAATTTTGGTGATCATCCTCAGCAGCATTTTTTTTCCTAGATAAAGAAATCTACCCTTTCAGTCATTCTCCACTGTTTAATAGGAGGGAATATGTAATTTTGGCCTTTCGTGTTTATTTAAAGAATCTTGGTTTAAACCTACTTCTATGGTCAGAAAAGGGTAAGGACAGGTTTCATTAAAAAAGAAATGTCAAAAAACATTATATCCTGGAAACAGAGTGAACGATGCTACTGATGTGCTTTTGATATCCCAAATGTACACGTGTCCACTTCCATATGTATGCACATGTTAAAATAAACAGCAGTAATGTTCATTGGGAAATCCATACTTAATACAATGTTTAGTTTAGCTCAATAATGGGAAGAGTATGTTAAACATCATTCTGAGCCTTAATGGAAAAGTTTCTGACAACTAGACATTAGCTCATACTGCCCACAGTCATCTTATGCCTATGACTATTGTTTGTTATCAAGTGTGACTTTTGGAAGAAAAAATGCATTATTGCATAACAAGCTGCACTGCAGTAGTGTCCTGCACTCTGTTTTGGTTTCTAGATAGCTAATTAAAAGAATCCACATGTTAAGAATTAATCATGTAAATTCCTCAGACTTTCTGGACATCTTTTAAGGAGGATGAATGCCACATTCGATAGTGTTTCTCTCTTGCAGAGAAATCATACACAATTTGTCTGAAATAAAACCAGTAGGATCAGACAAACATGAGTCCACAAACATGCAGCAATAGAGCATCAGCCCTGGCAGAGACCCCTCTCTGTGAACCCACTGGGCTTTACCGGGGTGGGTACCCACTGGGGAGCACTGAACTATGAACTCACTGGGTTCACAGGCACTGGGGTGGAGTGGTGCAGTGCCAGGATTTTAGGATCTCTGTCCACATCCTCAGCTGGAGCTGTCCCTGGTAACCATTTCACCCAGCATCAGCTGCTGTGACCTACCCTATAAAGACTGCTAGAAAAGTCTAAAAAGAAAAAAACAAGGAAGAAAACAAAAGAGGAAAAAAATGCTCAAGGCTCCAGCCCACAAAATATTGACAGAGAACAAACCACTTCTCAGCTAGCATTTACATTCTCTCAGAGCATCCATAAAAAAAGTTTTAGAAAGTTTTAGAGCCTGTCCACTTAAAAAAAAAAATCCATCAAAGAATGGCAGTGGACTTTGATAACTCAGCTGCAAAGTTTCTGTACCAGTTGGTGAAAAGAGCGTAAAAGAACACTGCTCTTTTTACTAATAATTTCTTCAAACCTTCTGATAAATATCTTCTGGTGTTATATAATAATATAGATCACTTTTTAAGAAGTATCATGTGTTCAGTATTTTAGAGTCCTTTACCTACAACAGGTGAAACAGAAGTATGAGCTATTAAATACAGTTGCTGGACAGAAAAAAGCAATGGTTAAGCTAAGCATTACAAATTAGCACCTAGTAGTTCTCATGCATGGCAAAATTGCTTTGAGAGAAACAAACACTATCCTCATCAATTCACAGATATCAAGGAACAGAGAATTAAGGAGGAAAAAAACTTTAAAAAAAGTTTGAAATATCTGGAAAATATTGGTTTTTTGGGTTTTTTTTAAACCTATTCCAGTGAATGGAGAAGAATTTCAGCAAAACACTCAGATCTGGATAGAAATAACCCTCAAATTAAAAGGAAACAAAGCCCTTTATCTATAGCAAAAATACAGAAAATTTTCAGACTTGAGCATCAACTGGCAGATAGACTTGAAAGGCATTTGGGTTGAGTAGAAGTCCTGAGCTGCTACCAAAATCAACAGTCTAATTGTCTCAGCTGAAACTGGGGCTTAGCTGTTGGGTTTCCTGTAACTGAATCTTGCCACAAACAGCTCTGCTAAGTTTTTCCTCTAATAAAATAAAATACAGCAAAATTAAGATAAATACAAGAGAGAATGAAGATGAGTACATAGTCCCCAATATAAGGAGGGGAGAAACACCAGAAAAAAAGTCATGAAGATATCAAAGTAGTTCTTGTCAATTCTAAATGGTTGATATGACAGTTCTTTAAAAATAAACAATCAAACATCTGAAAGTAATTGCTAGACTAAGGGATTTATTTTATTTAAGCAATAAGGTATTTTAAAAATGTACTCAGAATGTCTAGCTTGCTTCAAATTGCTTTGGTTTTCTACACAGTGTCATGGTAGTCACTACCCACCCAACTGTGGTATTTTAATATTTTTAAATTGAAAAACAACAATTGAAATGAAGAAAGCAAAACTATTCAGAAAGGTTACCAGAATGCACACTTTAACTTCAGACACTTTCTAATCTGATCAGGAAGCAGAAGGAAAAAAAAAATATTGTGCTGAATTTAGAGGCACTGAGTCAGGTGATAAAGTTATACAATTTTGTGTGGATTTACTGAGGTCGTATCTCAAAATCCAAAGAAAACCTAAGTAACTAAAAGCGGTGTTTTGATTTATATGGTCTGATATTCTGTCTATCCTTTTTCCTGTTGAACTGCCTTTTATGCCTTTTAGTGTATAAACTTCTTGAACGTAGTAATCTCCTGTGTCCTCAGTTTTCTCCTCATTTTCTCATGCTTTTGTTTCCTCCATTCAATCCCTGTTTATCTGATAATAAGGATTAGTTTACTGGTCTGAATTTTCCCTGTCTCACTTGGGGAGCTGGAAGTACTGGATGATTTTTAGTGGAACCTAAACCTCAAATTACTTGAATATTTATGGAAATGTTACCTTACATTTCCAGGACCATTTATTTTAAAAAGGAGTCAGTTGCTAGATCCTTTAGTCACTCGTGAAAACTTAGCTTCAGATTCCTCTGAGCAGCTTTGGATGAGAGGAAATTAAAGGAGAATTACAAAAGAAAAATCCTTTCCAAACATAGCATGTTATTCAATAGCTTAGAAATTTACTTCTCTTTTCCTGTTGGTGAATGTGGTTTCTTTAACTAATCCAAGCATTACTGTGAATAAACCCAATGGTTGCTTTTGTCTGTGTTTTGAAGAAGAGGGGCTTGTTTAGGGCTTTAGTAGCGATAATTGACACATAAAGCTCTAGTACAGAAGAACACATAAAAAGAACAAGATGAACTTGCCTCCACAAATCATTAGAATTGGAGATATTCTATGGATGCCTCCTGCTTGCTGTTAGTAACCATGATGACAAGTTTATGATCCCAGGCTACACAAAGCAGAGACCTAAGGAACCGGCTGCTTGTTAAATTCTCTTTTTCCCTAGTCCCCTACTTCCTAGACAAACTCATGCGAAAAGAGACTTCGAGTCAGTAAGCAGCAGATTTTTATGTTCATAACAGGAAATTCATGGAAGACTGGAGCAATGTGCCTCTCTGATTTAGGAAAAAGTTGTGCCAAACAGTAAGTCTTTTTATGCGTTTTGCATTACACATAAATCCTCCTGTTTTATGCTGAAGCATATAGTTCATTAACAGGTAGCTGATTAACAGCAACGTATAGAGCATATAGCTGTTATCATCACTTCACAGGTGTTTTCCACACATTTCCCATAGCTTTCACATTCAGGGAAAAGTAGCATGAAGTGAAAAATCTTCTTTCAAAAGCCTCATTGACACGATTTATCCATGTAACGATTCCTTGTGCACTCATTCAGTTTCTTTTGGAAACACCAATGTATTTTCCATGCAGGAGCCTCTCAGGAAATGTTGCATTTTAAGACAATTTTCTAGACTCTAAAGAGTTCAGACAGAACTCTATTAATACCTTTGCCTTGTAAAGTTCAAGGAATGGTACTACAGGATGAAATGAAATTTGAAATACAGTCATAAGAATTGCCCAGCTAATGACAGTTCAGCTAAAATATTTGCTATATAATTCAATCTAATATTTTGTTTCAAAGGAGTTTTATGTAGTTGTTGGGTTTATTTAAGTACCTGGTTAAGGCTGCCCTTTTTAATTGCAAAAGTTATGCAAATAGTGACAAATATTACAGTCTTATAGGAACAATTTCACAGAATCACAGGATGGTTAAGGTTGAAAGGCACCTCTGAAGCTTATCTTGTCCAACTCCCCTGCTCAAGCAGGGACACCTAGACCGGTTGCCCAGGATCATGACCAGACAGCTTCTTAATTATCTCCCAGGATGGAGACTCCCTAACCCGTGTCAGTGCTTAGTCACCCTCGCTTTTCTACTTCCTCTACTCATTCTCACAATTTCTACTTTATACATCTGAAATTTCCCCTGTACTTGTTCTCTGCAGCAGTCTGGCTCATGATTTACAAGGGGTGGATGAATACTGAAGCACAATGCTGAAATCAGGGATGTTTTGCTTAGGAAGGTGATGCTCTACTTTACTGAATGCATTTTTGGACCATTTACTCAGCCATCACCTGTGTATTCCTGATGTAAATGGGAGATGGTGTAAATGGAGTCAGCTGTGCAGAAGCATGGAGTCAAGACACAAGTTGGGAACGTGAGCCATGCCAACTGATGGCAAAGACTTTATGTAGAATATTTCCTTTGGGTGCAAACAGCATATTTCATGCTACTTTACTGGCATTACAGCTACTTTTAAGCAATCCACAGAACGGAGACTTAGTATTTTGAAGCTGCAAAAGGTCTGGAATGTGCTCAGGTCCCCCCTCTTGTGCAGTGTTTGTAAAGCTGTCCCTTGATACATGACAAACTGAAAAGGCAAAGAAAAGGCAACAGCATGAGCCTGTGCTGACAGTGTAAATAGAAATTTGAGTTTAGTGGACAAAGTTCACAGTTTGCAGAGAAAGGTCATAAGGATTTCAAGTATTTTTGGTATTTTGTCTCTGCTGCCTGCACAATATCAAACAAATAAAAAACCCCAGATAGGCAGCTTCCAATTCTGTATATTTGGCATCCCTGCTCAGCCTGGAGGAACACGGGAAGCTCTGCATTTGGCATTCTACAATTATTTGAGGACACGCCATCCTAACACAGCCTTAACACTTACTCGGCCCCAACCTTTCATGTGACATTTGATAAGCTAAAGGCTTAACCAGCTTCAGCTATGCCAAGTGGCCTGCAGTTTTCTTGCTAAAAATTTAGCATGATGAGGAAGGGTCCTAATACTCTCAATAGGTTATGTTCATTTTTTCCCAACCAGTGTACAGTCACATTAAAATATCATTAAAATATTTTATGAGAAATCTCCTACAATCCGTAGTTGAACCAAAGGAGACTTGAAGGAGTCTGATTTTTTATTATTATTTCTATTATAATTTTTGCCTGCGGTGAGTTCATTCCCTCCTTTAGGAAAAGTTTAGCTGGGCCTGTGAAACACTGACAATGACATTTTTATTTCCTCGACTCAATTAAATTTAAACCAAGTGGAGACTGTTTTCCTGGAGGTATGTAACCTCAGAAACCCAAAGAAGAGTTTTATTACCTATGTACCTCAGATGTGAGTGCAACCACTGCTTTTTGTTAAATCATTACTTCTAGTATTCAGGCCTGTGCTGCTGAAACGAGAAAAAACTCTACTGTACCAATCTTTTCTTAGGGTGCATCTTTCCTGGGCTGAGAATATTCAGAGATAACCTAGGAGTGTGAATGGGATTAAACAGTAAAAATAGGACAGCAGGTGAGCCAGGTATTGGCCAAATTTTTTGCAAAGTGTATTCTTTTAACCTCCCAAGTGAGCTCTTTTTTTGCATTCGTAGGTTCACAACCCCAGTGTATCTCAGCATGATCATACATGAGGAGTTTGTTGTGCATGCTAGGAGTGCCAAACACTTGAGCCCATGTTGTGTCTGTAGGTGCTGAAGGCGCCTGGTGGGGTTTTCCCTGTGCCTCCCACAGGCATACCTGACAATGCCACGAGGGATCTATTTCCAGTCTCAGATGCTTGCATGCTTGGCACACGTTGTCCTTCAGGCTCAGGCAGAATACCCATTCCAGTTGTTGTGCAACATATTCCCTTATATCCCTCTTGATACAGATATTTTTGCACCCTGAGATACAAATCTCTTTACTGTACCTGAAACTTGATGTCCATTCTACCTGCATTGGAAGTATAATAGTTACCCATGCAAGTATGCAGTGGTTGTGAAGACCTAAAGATAGAAAGTCTCACCAGACAGTCCTCCTTTGACTTCCTTCTCCTTTTAACTTCCTCTCTCCCCTCACTTTTTACCTAGATACAGATGATTTTGCTCTGAGATTTAGTAGTGCTGAAAGGAGCAGAACAGATGCCTGAATGTACATGTTACTTTGTCCAGCCATGGCCAGATGTGGAATACAAACACAACTTCACATGTGATTAAACCCAGCTAGGAATGAATATGACCCCTAAATGGGCGTTATATATCTGTAGGAACTGCAGACACACTCCAGATTCATTCCCTTTCTTCCCCAAATATAGAATGATTAAGCTCAAAGGGCTGATGCTTACCATTGCCTACCCACCAGCAGAAAAATCTGCAGACTTTGATGTGCTCAGAGTAAAGCATATTCCAACATGATACACTTCCATGATAGCCAGAAAACAAAGGCCCTTGCCTTTTGACAAAGGAGAGAGTGTCTGAAAAGCTAAACACAGACTAAATGACAGGAAGCCAGAAAGAAAAGGTATTTGTTAATGCTCAGCTTGTATCATATTTGCCCTGGCCATTACAAGGAATATGCTGTTCGTAATGAGCTGTCTGTAGGTGATCAAAGTACGTGGAAGAAAGGAAGACTCTCCTCATTCATAGGCACAGGCAAACATTGTGTCTTAAAATAATATTTTACCTTTACCAGAAAGAACTATCTTTCATTTATCACAGTGTGATAGTTCAGACATGAAGGCAGTATAAAGCAGTTGTGCACCAGCCAATATGGGCCATAGCTCCTATATAAAGGACAATCATGTGGACATGTTTTTTTTTTATTTTGCTTATTTTTTCTTTTTTTTAAGTGCAAGAGGAGTGTTAGACCTGTGTCTGTGCTGAGCGGACGGCTCACGCCACCTATGGGGCAGTGTCAGTACCAAGACGTGTCCGCTCCCAAGGCCTTCCCATGGAAACCTAGCAGTTTCTATACTGATCAAAAATCGCTCCAACAGACGTTTGAATTGGCTGTAACACTTGTCAGTATTTAAATACATATACACCGATGAGAAAAATTTGATGCTACACCATTTGGCATTCAGTGTGCTTGTTTTTATAAATATACTTGCTAACAATCCATTCTTTTATCCCTGTTACAAATAAGAATACATAAACATCTGATTCTCCTTTGATTATTGCCACAAATTAGTTACAGTGACTACATCAGGAATTAGAAAAATTATACAAGATGGGTTTAGTAGATGGGTTTAATACACAGCCCATTCTGACTACTGAAGACTGCAGTAGGGAATCTAATAAAACTCCAAACAAAGTTTACAAAGCTACAATTGTTCATATGAGCTGACCATCCCTGAACTGCCCGATGCAGTGTTTGCATTAAGCCTAGATGAGTCCCAGTGTGCAGCTTTGGTGATAAAGAGGAAATGTCTTAAATTGTAGCTGTAGAAATAGTACCCTTTCCTTAGGAATAACAGTATTTCCTTTACAGAATTGTGCAAGTGCCAGCCTTTCCACTGCTTTCAGAGGCTCATTTCAATCACCCATTTCAGCTCTTTTTTCACTCATTAGCACTACCTACTCCTTAAGTCGTAACAGGCAAGCTCCAAAAGCAAGTCACAGCCTGAGCAGCTGAGCTTGAAGGTGGAGGCCACTGATGGTGGTAGGAGTGCTTCTCCCAGTTCCCTAAAGCAAAGGGCTAATCCTCTAGGACAGCAGGCCCCAGGCTGGCTTGCTCTGCCACCCTGGGAGAGGGTGGAGGGGGAGGAACCAGAATCTGAATAGGTGAAGACACAAAGACTGCAGCATCCCCCCAAACCAGCTGGAGCACTGGAAACAGCCTGTGGCTGGAGGCCAGTGCACAAAAAAGACATGGCCTCCCCATGCAGTTTACACAAATCATGCCCTGGTTTGTTTTGTCTTCCTTAAGCAAACTCAGCTGCTTACTGCATGACAAGGACTTCCATGATTAAAACAAAAAATTATTCTAAACCTTATTACACTCTTTTCTCTTTTTAATGTACAAATGCACACCAGGCCAGTGTGATTTTTGGTCAGGACTTCTTTACCCTCTTCACCTCCTTCTCACCAAGACTTTTACAGTCATGCTGAATGCCATATTGGAAAGTTGGCAGTAAGGAAGGCTCCTCCGCTGTTTCTCAGGAGATGAACTAGCTACAAACATGAAGCAGTTGTTCTGTTCAGCCATTTTATCCCAATTTTACACATGGACAATGCCACTGATGCAAAGGAGGATACTTCTCAATTACATTACTCAGAGATGAGCATCAGAGCCTAAACTTTATTCCTCTCTCACAAAGTGCAGACTTGTAAAGTTTCCTTCCAGTAAGACCCATTTCTTATAGTTTTTTTGGTTTGGTTTGGTTTAAGTGAAGTATGCATTTTTCTAGGACTGACGAATTTCTGGAAAAGACTCTGAAAAAAAAGGTGCTCTGGTGATTTTAAAACTGGAGTGAAATAAATACAGAAGCAAGATAATTTCATTAATAATAGTGACCTAATCCAGGAAAAATCAAAATGTCAAGACAAAGAAATGTGTCCCTTTAATTGCAAAGCATTATTCAATCTCTTAATAACATCACAGACTGTGAAGGGAATTGTTCTTGAAAGACACTGTAATTAAAGGCATAGGATGGATGCTTGTGTGAGGGTTTAAAGCGAGTTAATGAATTGTATGTAGTCAGACCAAGCAATGAATTAGCATGTAGAATCTGAGTAACACATTGAGGATTTAAGAAAAAATGCGGATAGTGCTACAGTTTCATATTAACTGCAACTGCAGTTCTAATTTGCATGGATGAAATAGAACAACTGAGGTGAATAATTGCTTAAGACACTCCGATATACACAAAAGCAAGGCCAGAAAAAAAAAGAGCAGGCAAAATATGCCACCTAGCATGAAAAAAAAAAAAGTAGCTCCAGTCCTGGAGTCCCCAGAGACAAATCCATCTGATTTTGCTTAAGCAAACAATGTGGGGGGATGTCCTGTTTCAATTTCTTTTTGGCCTCCACTATATTGTTTATCTTGAGTGCTCATCTTCTTGACAAATATATTTTCAGGAAACTATTCTTTTGCATTTCATAGCCCTGAAGAGAACCTGAATAAATGTGTCAGCTCATCAAGACTGACTTGCGGTCTCTCTGTAGCTTTATTTGAAGTCAGGTTCAGAGGGACCTGTAAACAGTCAACTGCAGAGTCTGGAAACTATTGGAAACAACACAGTGCACAAAAGAGCTTACTGCCACTTACTGCCGCACTTAAGTAAGTTTGTTACACATTCATAAGCACCAGAAAGAGAAGGCTGACTTAGTATAGCCCTCTTTTAGATGCTTGACTTCTCACAGCATCACTCAGAGCTAAGTAAGGAGTTTCAGACCCATTTTGCAAGTGAGGAACTGAAGCAGATTTAGCAAAGTATGGCAATACCTATGGCAATACCACAGCAGCCCCAGAAGCATATGCAATGTCTTGCAGAGGCACTAAAGATTTAACTTCACACCAGGTAGCATGAACACCCTTGTCAGTCGGGCTGCACCATCTGGATGCTCATCACAGGTTGGCTTGCCAACTTACTTCTACTCTTGTGCTGTAGACCTCATCTGGAGTCCTGAACTCCAGAGGTGTCCTAAATGAGACATGGGAACTGAGGGACTTTAAAACACTACAAGACACTCCACTGCCATTGTTTTGCTTGTGTCCATTGCTTCTTTCCATCTCCAATAGAAACTGCAGTGTTCAAGGTGGAAGAAACTTGTGAGCAGGGGTTAGAATGTGCCAAAAAGTAGGAGCTGTGGAGTGACAGCAAGCAATATGTATATGTTGGCTCAGGTCTGCCTTTTCCATGGCATCAAAAGAAAAATGATGCTGTAAGTAACTTGCCCAAGGTCATAGAGGTAGTTTAGAACACCCTTACACACATGCTTAAAAAACTCTAGTTCTTTTAAAACTTGAGCCTGCCGCTTGAGTGATGGTGTCTGGACATACCAGGTCAGGGCTCACAACCAGAATTCTGCCACCCCCTACTGCAGTCCCATGGTGTGAGCAAGCAGGCAGGATTCAATTCCAGCATAGGAGTTTTTCTCAGAGCTACTGCCCAATCCATTAGTTAACTCAACAATACCAGACAGTTTATAATCTCTCTTCAGTCTTTTCCAGAGATACGAGCATGTCTAAGTCTATCCTTAGGAATTAATTGGGGAAAAAACGTAAGCCAGTATGTCCTTAGTTCTCTAGGCAGCATGTCCTCATAGGAGACAGGAACAGTATTTCACATTTATAATTTTCTAACCCGCTCCCCTCCAGCACTGCAGGAAAGAAAGAATATCTTAAGAGAACAGTAAACATTCAGCATGTGCCTTATTCACCACGCTGATTCAGAGCATCAGCCTCACATTCAGAGACAGCAACTGTGGGAGTCTGTGTTCTATCTGGAGAAAAAAACATTGTGTTCTATATGAAGAAAAAAACACTGGCTTTTCTGGACACTGACACCTCAGCTCATTTTTTATGCACATCCTTTGGCAGCCCACAGCAGAGCAAGGCTATGGAAATGCATTTTAAAATGTGGCAACCTTCAAAATGGGTTTTTCTTGAGAATCATCTATATCATAATTACAGAGGCACCACTGCATTTCTTTACAAAACAATTCAATTTAGGATTATTACTTTTAGTCAGTGAGCCATCATCACCAAGAGTGAACAAGGCTGAATGATGAGTAAGTTTAAAGCATCTTAGTAATGAGTTTAATATATTTGGAAGCCCTGGGTCCTCCCACGCTTTTTTTTTTGCACTAATTTGCTGTGGTTGGACAAAGATCAAAGGTAATAGTGTGTGTACCAGAACACAATATGATCACTTTGGTTAAATTCACAAAAAAGGCTAACATCTAACTTGTCCATGTCATCTTATTTGGCAAAAATAATAATGTAATTAAATGGTTTTAAGTACTAAAAACATATGTATCTCCTTACATTTATACTTTTCCCCCCCTTTACAAAATAATGCTTTTGTTAGAGAATAAACTTCATGAGCTTCATATGTAACTGGTGGAATTTTGCAACTCAATTATTTCTTCATCACAATGGCAAGAGAAGCTCCAGCACACAAATAATCTAGAAGATTTATAGACCTGATTGCAGAGCTGATGCTTGGCCCGCAGAGCTCCCTAGCAGGCCAACAAGGAGTAGTCTTTTCTGCAGGTATGACGTGGGTTGGCTGGTAGCATCTACTAAGCCACGGGGAAGGATATGAGTAGAACATTTACAGCCCTATTTCTAGCTAAACTAAAAAATCTTTGAAGTATGATATGTTGATTACATGAGCATTAAAAGCAAACTTCTGCAGGAAATGGGATCCACATGCATGTTTTCTTGGGAGTTCCTTGTAAAACAACGGTCAAGTCTGAACATAAGTATGTATTTTTAATGTAATAGATAGGTTTACGTTACAGGTTCTTCCCTCATTCTCCTACTGCCTGTAGGTCTGTACATCAACAGAGACATCCAAAGTCTGCTTTCATTTAATTAAATGGGATCTTTGTCGCCAGTTGAAAAAAAAAAATATCAGATATATGAAATAATGTCTGTTCTCATGACATTTCCAGCCCAGTTTCCAGGAAGACTTTGGGATAGTTTTGAATAGATAAAAAGAACGATAAGAAAAACATTTCCTTAAAAGAAAATAATTAAAGGAAAGCAACACTCCCACTCATCTTCCAACTCTTCCATCTTTGGAAAATTTCCTTTTAGCTCAGAGGGGCTAGACAAGTGAAGCTGTTCATCTGGGACATCCTATTAAATGTCATCATTGGCAAGATAAGATGTAGTAAAATGGATTCAAAACCAATCAGTGTTGTCCACTTCAAACAGGATACATTTAACCACTGTGATAATTTCTACAACAGAATACCAATATCAATAAACTAAGCACATGGAAAAGTTAATACTCAGTGATACTGGTTATTCTGCTTAAAAATCAGAATTGCTTCCCCTGCAGTCAAAATGCTACTATAATTGAGAATAGAATTGGGGCCAGTAGTGGATACCTGTTTACTTAGCTACACAATAGCTGGCCAGGGTTTGGGCATTTTTAAGCTAATACAAACCAGAGTGATTCTAATTTTACTGCCTGGAAATGGTAATTTCATAGATCTAAACTGACATTTGTTCCTTGCCAAAATATTTTGCACTGGCACTTAGTGTTGGAAAGACCACTTTTTTTCTACTGCCAAGAACTGAACAAAAACCAGCCAAATTATTCTGTTCTTAATTGAGCAAAATTCTCATTGTAGTTGTGCTTGATTAAGAAAAACAGGCTGCAGTCTATTGCATGGATAACTGTCTGGGTATATATACGTTGAGATCCATTTTAAAACATTTAACAACTAGCAAATTTTATACAGGTTACAGTTCTCATCAAAATTAATGGGGTTATGTCAAGTTACCTGTCTGCACAGGTGACCAGTTCTCTGACTGTTGAATTTCATGAGCTTCTAATGTTGCTAATTGTCACATGGAAGCAATTAATTGAATTACTAGAGAAAAATCTGTTCTAGATCACATAAGGTTTTTCTTTATAATTGTGGAGGCCCATATTACTGAACTCTAGGAAATATCCTTTTTTTTTTTACTTTAAAAAATAGATATTCACCAGTATAATTGATGTGCAGGCACTGGAGGGACACAAGTTTCTCAAAGTTACAGTCTCTACTGCATGTAGTTTTCCATCATGTCTGTTCAAGTTTCTGCATTTTATCTGTGTCACAGATCCTCCCAAGGAGAATTACTAGACCTTCATAGTCAGGAGGTTTCATAAAATATTAAACTTCAGCAATCATTTTTAGCCTGAGGCAGTCAACGGAAAACTAGCCAGGAAATTCTTCAACAATATTGCGTTAATAATTTTGCATTTCCAAATGAAAAATAAGTAGGTTTGTCTTCTCTTCCATAACAGTTATCACTAGGTTATGAATGCCACAGCAGTGTTTCATGGTCATAATATACTGATGACTGCAAGTGAAGGAAAACACAAATCTCTCCCCTTCCTCTGGATGACTTGTCATGGCTTAGTCCTCGTTTCAGGTGTCACATTTAATCAAGATGAGGACTTCATTCCAAACCAAAGACGTAATGGCATGAAATCCTTACCAAAAGAAGAAAAAAATTATTTTCAACAGACCATGGTTAAGGGACTGCATTATCTGGGGACTAAATATAAGTAGAAGGTAGAAGAAAGGATAAAACAAGGTATAGGTATTAGTAATAAAGAGAAGACGGATAAAACAAGAAGGAATTCAGGAAGGATCGGGATGCATAGAGTTAACAGCAGTTCTCAAAGGTGACTAATGAGATTTGTACACACATTAGGAGATAATCCAGTCTAGAGTCTGAACAGGCAAAAGAAACACAATTGCCAAAAAAGATGAAAGACACCAAGTTGGATGGTTTTTTTCAATTTTTCAGTGATTTTCATTACTGGTGTCGCTTGAAAATGAAAAGAGAAGGATGATAATCTATTTCTACAGATACTATTTGAAACATTTAAAGGCAATGGCATTGTCATGTGAGAGCAGTTTGTACTTTTTGCCCACTATGTCTTAAAAGTTTGCCTTGCTTCGCCTCTCAGCACGTTATTTTCAAAAACCTGTAATGAAAACAGTACCTAATGAAAGAGCAAACATGGATGTCATACAATCCCACAGATTATAAAAGCTCTTAGATTTTTGTCCAGTACAATCAGTTCTGATTTATTATTAAAGCTTAAATTGGTGATGATGGAAGACATTGGATTACCCCTCAGTTCCAAGCGGAGCACTGTTAAGTCTCTGGTATGTCAGTTAATTCCTTCACACGTTCCCCTCCATTCTGAATCCAGCTCTCCTCCAGGTGCTTCTTCCTTTGCCTTCCATGAAGCTGCTGCGCTCTGGGGTCCTCTCAGTCAGCAGTATGAAACAATTATGCCACCACATAGATGCAGAAATACCAGCAAAGCTGACTTGGGAGCTTTTGATTTTTTTATTTGATGGATTATTTCATTTGTGTGCATATGCTCCCGTGCATGTGCATGGGCAGCACTTGCTATCCCAGCACATTGCTCAGAGTTGCTGGTATGGCTGCTTCTAGCCTTGACATTTAGTATTCCTTTAGCAGTAAAATGCTCCTACTCTAAACACAGCCAAAATTGCACCCTGTGTCCAGTACTGGTACTTGCCAAAGTCTCTCTCAAAGGTTTCTGGAGCTCACAAAGCTGCAAACACATCTTTTGAAAACATTAGCCCCTGGATGACTTTACTAGTAGAACTTGTGAGTACAGTCCTTTAAGGAGCTCATTCCTGCAGGATCTGATCAGCCTTACTGTTTAACTTATTGAGAATTTTGCGACAATTTTCAGGGATTACTGCTCAGACCTAAGAGAAAAACCCTCTCAAACTCTGAGCCCGTGGGCTATAATTATGTACTCAAGAACATCTCTTTCCTTAGCATGGTTAAACAAGCCTTCCACAAAGCAGATTAGAAGTATTTCTATCAAGAATACATGATTTCCACTAACATCTGAAAATCTGAGCAGGTTTCTTGACCAAAGACAAAATTAACTTGGAATTAACACAGGTGCCCCATCTCAGAGTCAAACGAAACACAGAAATGAAAATCATTGTATGCATTGCTGATAGACACTCTGCTGTTTGGAGAAACATGAGATCCTTTTCCTTGCTAGAGAAGTATCAGCCTAATGGATTTATTTTTGATTTTGGCTGAGCCATGGCCTGTAGGTAGCCATAAACCTTTGGTTCTGATGTTCAGCAGTAAGGATCTGGTGGACAAAGTTTGTGGGGAAGGATATGATGTCATTTAAGTACACTGTTTTTTCTAATGCCAGATTTTGTGAAGTTAGTCATTGTTGACTTAACTGTATCATCTGGGGAATACCCAGTACATGCCTTAACTACTCCTTTGCATAGATACAAAAATAATTTTTTTAAAATACAAAATTGCTTAAAAGTAATCCAGATTTTGAAACAAAAAAAGGAGGACTGGGCAGGGAATGGAGGCCTTAGTTGACTGACAATACAGGACACAGAACCTTTCAGATCCTAATCCATGATGGGAAGTTTGCATCTGGCTCCATAATGGAGTCCACATGCCTGAATTAGATGCCGGGACTCCATGCATGTGTGTAAGTTGAGTTAAGTGCCTCAGAGGGGGATTCACAAAAGCCACTGTTTGGGGAGCTGCCTAAGACAGCCAAATAGGAAAAGTTGAAGATTTCAGTTCATCCTAAATCCTAGCTCTCTCCTGGGTTTAAGCACCTTCTGGTGAATGAAGTACACGCGCTCAAGCCCCTTCACTCTCGGTTCATAGCTCACAATCCTCTTTTGTAGGCAAGTGCCAAATTTTTCTTTCAAACTCGGTGCAGCCATCAGCAGCTCAAGCCCAGTGTCCCTTCACTGAGGAAGAGGGGTCTAATTCCTTCCTTTAGCAGAAGGCATTTAAGTTCATATTTCCTTCCCCCTAGGCATGCCCGAGCCAGCAGGCTACAGGCATCAGCTCCCAGGAGGGAGGTAGGAGCTGGCAGAGGTCACAGTAGACCCAAGAAGCCACAGAGAGGAGGGAAAGCCCATGAGACCTTGTCTGAAAGACTGGGAGGCATCAGCAGGCAAAGGGAGCCTCAACTCCACATCTGGCACTGAGAAAGGTTTGGGACCAGTGGGACCACTACTTTGGGGAGGATTTCAGTGATGAGACAGATCAGGCAAGAGCTAATCAGTCCCTGATCGGCGGCTTGGATTTTGATTATGGATTGAAGTGCTTTAATTCCCCGTTCCAATCCTATATCCTTTCAGCCCCAAGTCTGCCACGTAGTTCAGCAGGCAGCTGAAGGGAAGCTGGTGTCTGCCTTGGATCCAGTTGAGCAGCAGGGCAGCAGTGTGTTTGTCAGCCTATCCCCACTGGCACAGCCCCTCATCCTGGATGCAGCACTGATGAAATAAAAGTGCCGACTCCCACTGCGGCTGTTTTATAACCATTAGCCCTGGGAGTTGAGCACTGACCAGCTTTGCAGCCTGAATATTTGCTAGTCTCACAGTTATCATGGGTCCAAATGGCTGCACTGACCCTTTCAGATTGTTTCTCTTGGAGTAGAGTTGGGAGACTTAAGTGAGTGACTGATAGTATTTGCTCTTCAGCACTTGGCTTTGCTTTCCTTTGGCCTTGGTTAGGTTGTTCCAAGGTGACAGATATGGTAATTTTAAGTCCTTTAAACCGTAGTACACTGGATTGCATATAGGAAATTAATTTCCCTCATGACATTTTTGGAGTTTCAATGACTATATATTTTCACGGATGCAGGATAAGTTTGTGTGAATGGGATGGGGAGGGTCTTGCACGTGTTTCAGAAGTGTCCTTTTTCTTCTATGTGCTTTTGAGAGACGTAGCAAACATTTGTTATAAGTATTCACTGAATCAGACCTACAGGGAGTACTTCACAACTCAGGCTGTCATGCTACCCTTGTTTCTGCACTTGCACTTGTAGAGTGGGAAGAGAGTGGTGTCTGTGTAGGCCTGTACACATTACATTTGTTCAGAAGTAACAATGATTTCAAGCTTTTCCTCCCTGCCCCTCAACTAGTCAAGTGCTTATGTTGCTGAAGCACACTGGACTAAGATGCATTTTATTACCTGCTCCACAAGAGGAAGAGGAAGAAGGTCATTATGGGCAGATCTTTTCTGGCATGACACAGGAATGTGTGTGTGCAGTTCAGCCATGGCAGTTAGAGGCGTCCACTGGAGTTTTCGGTGGGTTTTGGTCATGATTTGCTCCCAAGTTCAGATTATGATAGATGTACATTGGCATATCCACTGTCAACCATCTAGTAACTTCCATCTTCATGTCTTCATCTTCAAAGGTATGACCCAGAGCACAAAGGGTCTTTCATAAAAATTAAATTCCCAGTTTTGAAATAATTTTACCCAAGTGAGCGTTCAGTTGTGGTTGTTGTTGTCTATAATTCACCCATTTAGGAAATACGATCACAAGGTAAGATCTGCTTGATTTTTGTGAATGGAATGGTGTCAGGTCATGATTAGCACATCCTAACAAATATAACGATATCTCCAATATTTTATAATAAAATAGGAAAATAACTGTTGGTAAATAATTTTAAAACATGCTCCTGATTTCTGTCTGGGTGGAGTAGTCTAGTATGTTTAACTTTCTAAGGCAAGATTATTTCTACCACTGTTTGAGCAAAGGTAGGAAAAGTATGCAAAGGGCAGGAATTTTTTTTAATGGCAAATAATCTTCCAATAAAAATTGTCTGAGAGGAAGTTTTTTCAAGAAAAATATTTTACAGACATTTGTTATTGTTTTCATATCTCCCTTGGACTGGGCCTTTGGAGTTCCGGGAAGCTGCAGAATTAGAGCACAGCAAATAAAAATAAGGGAGAGAGAGGCTGCTCTTTCTTTCTCTTGACAGGCTCATCAAAGCACAGTGAACGGAAATATTGTAAATTGCAACAATTCGTCTCCAAAATAAAGCCTCCAAAGCCTTTTGCTTTTATTAAAAAAAAAAAAAAAGAAAAAAAAGTCATGAAACAGCATGAGGGCAAGAGCCAAGAAAACACATTTTGTACACCATCAAAGTGAGAAAAGGAACAGAAATGCTGTGCCGTGCCAGTTTCAGACAGAGGCAATCAAGCAAATTTTATGGCAAGAAGACAACGCGTAAGGCCACAGGATTGCAACAGGAGTCACAGAGAACAATAAATTATTTCAAATTAAGATCAGGCCAAGCACTTCAAGAGTCTGGCACAAATTTCTTGCTTTATAGTGCAGGAATTCCCAGGATTGTTAAAGTAAATGCTATAAGGGGTTGCAAAGCCTGGAGTGTGATCACTACACAGGGGCACATGAAATAACGTTTCCTTATAACCAAAAGACTTCCACCAAAGAACCCATGCACCCAGAATTAGTCTCTTGTTCTTAATGAGATTTCATGATCTTGATTCCTTGGTAGGGTTTAACAGCTCCCATTTAGATCTGTAAAGCCCATATTTAATCAGAATACATGCAGTGCTAAAAAGAGCTAAAACATTTTAAACTTCAGAGAAGTCCCTGCTTCATCACTGATAATAAAAAGCTAAAACTTACCTCTTTCCAAAGAGCCATCCCTCCTGCCTGCCTCAGGCACTCTGTAGCTGCCAGGAGCACTCACCTCCCAAAATGTCCCATGGCAGAACACCGGCCAGACCTCAGTGTTAGCAAAGACAGACACCTGCCTTTCCCAAAGCTGTGGCTTCGTTCTATCCACCCCGGACACAGTGCAGCCTTTTTAGCTCAATGAGGGCATGGTGACAGTGGTAGGATGTCACACCACAGCAGGGTGCTGCGGGTGGCCCACAGGCCATGCAGGGCAAGTCAGACATCAAGTGGCACCAGCAACTGAAACAGTACTTGCTACAGCCTCAGGATCAAGAGAAGCACAAGAGCAGCTTCTGGCTACTTTCCCCTGGTCTCCTTAGGTTTAGCACTAAGTATACCTTAGCCTGAAAAGTCCACCCTGCATGAATATTACAACTGCAGGCAGCTCTACTGCTTTATGTAACACTTAAACTGATAAGAAGACAGATTATCTTCCCTGCCACATCTGTAACAATCACTCATTGCCATTACCAAGAACACTTCTATAATCAGGATTTGTCTTTCTTTTGTCACCTCTTGGGAAGTGTTTAAGAAAAATACACTCTGGCACCTAGCAGATGCACATGTAAGCTTTCCTAAAGGTATTGAGATCTAGTAATTCACAGAATGTTCCCTCTCTAAGCAGTCTTCTCAGACACATGTAAGAAAATTTTAACCCACACTGTATTAGAATAAAATATACAAAGCCAGAGTTGATCTTTCGTGCCTCTTTAGGACTCAATGCACCTCCACAAAGACAACAATTTATTTTTTCTGCTTTTAGTTCAGTAGTGTGATTAATCAAATGAGGAACTAAGAGTTCTCTGACCAGTAAAACTGACAGATAACCTTCCGAATAAGATTCTGGCACTGGCAGATATTTGGGCAAAGATTTAGGATGTGCTTCAGTTTACTGTCACAAAAAGAGATAATCTTCCCTCATTTCTGTCTACCCCTACACATCTGATGAGATGGAGCATTTCACTGATTAACAAGTTTAACAGTGAACTGTGCAGAATATTTACTTGTCATTCAGAGCCCATTGCTAGTGTGTGGCCTGCTCACAAAGCTGTAGCTGTCTGAACCGAGAGGTAGTGAAATGGAAACTTTATTTACACTTTCACCAGTGAGTCTAATTCATAGAAGCACTGCCTAGAGGCACTGCTTTGGATTAAAACAGCAAAATGTTGTGATACACTTTGCAAACTGTTGTACTATGATAACATGCAAACAATTGTACCATAAAAATTTGGGAGGGTTCTACTGCACGCAGCCAGCACAACCTGTCCCAGGGCAGAGTAAGGCCAAGAGTGATGAGTGACAGCTGAGAAAGGAGGTGTCCAAAGAAAGCTTGCAGTTCCCTGTTCACACTGTTCTGCAACCAGAAATCACCATAGTTCATTATCAACACCTCGAGGTTCAGCCTACTGGATCACACACCTCAGTCTGAAGCACATCACCAGTTGTCTGTCTTTGAATTTACTTTGGGGTAGTGGATTGGCAGTAGATGCAAAGCGTTCTTGCCAAAACAATCTTCATACCAACAGCTCTCCTAGGAAACGGTTGGTTGCCTACAGATGCACTTCCATGAAAACCAGCCTCCTTTCCAGTGGGCTGCACACAGCAAACCTGTTACATCTGATAAGGCAAATTCCTTGGACAGTGTCATTGCCTTTGCCCCACAGGGAGCTCCTTCTGCAGCACTGGGTAGCACCACCACTTCACCACCTCAGTCCAGTTCCCACGTTGAACAACCACTCTTGTGCTCGGACACATTGGTGGGCAGTCTCGGGCTCGGCGCCAGGAGGGCGGTTACGTGCTGATAAGTGGGGAGGCAGCTCTAGGCTTTGATCACTTTGTGTGTTCCACGTTATTGGGTCCAGGTTTGTGTGCCTCACGCAGCCGGTCGCTGAACCGGGAGCTGGTGACAGTCGCTAAAGTGCCTCCATCAATCTGCCTGCCACCAAGATTGTAGGCAAACTGCCCAGAAGAGAGCATTAGGAGAGGATTCGAGTGCATGCTGTATGGCAGAGAACAGGAAAATGTATTCAAAGGCAGGTATTTTCTAAATCCTACCTATAATTAATTCTAATCCCATAATTAAAGTCGCATGCTTTTCTGCAAACATTCCCCCACGTTGGTCCTTCATCCCCACCCCAAGGTCAGACACCGATTCATGCAAACAAGCACATGCCACCACGCCAGAGAGCTGCATCCCCGGGGACTGTGGTCACCCGGCCAGCGGTGCCCAACTTACTGATCCTTGTCACGGCTCCCTGCCATCTGACTCCAAGTAGCTTTCAGGCATTTTCCAGCAAACAGCATCTGGGCCAGATCCTCAAAAACACGCAAGAGATGAACTCCCCTGGAAATCAATTACTAGTGCCAGGCATCTTAATATCATCGTAAATCATGAGCTTCATGTTTGTGTTGAGTCAGCAGAGCCTTGTGCCTGGGAGTTAGGGATTATGGAGCTGCCAATCTAATCATGCCCAGGTTTGCAGAGAGAGACGGAGATGCCTACCCGGGCCCACGTAAGTAGGCTCACAGCACACTGGGCACAGGGAGAAGACTAAGGGCAATGTAATTATGTGTCTGCATGGGCTAAAATCTCCTTCTCATTGTGGCTGCCTCCACTCCCAGGACATATTTTCACATAGATATGCACATATAAATACCTGCACACAAGCAACAGATACAGGCCCACATGCAGATATACACTGTTTGGAAGCAAGAAACATGGGAAGTCCAAGGGTGCCCACAGAGAGCTGGGTGAGCTGACTGAGCCCAGGAATGAATGTATTTGCAGAAAGACTGGAGCAGAGGCAATTGCTTCATCTTTGGAAATGCATTTACAAATGGAGACCACCCCAGGAATTGCAATAGAAGATCATGTAATTATCAGTGAAGCCAAAGACAGCTTATAGTTGATCATCGTTTTTTAAGATGAAGCCATTTATTTAGATGTTTTCACACTTCTCTAAGAAAGAAACTGCAGGCACCATTTTGAATTAAAAAAAACCAAACAACCTAGAAACACGCCATCTGCCACATGTTGAATATCTCCCATTAGCAGCAGGTTTATGCATGCATGCATTTTAAAATGTTTATTATGACAATACTTGTTATGACTGCCTCAGATTTAGTAAATACCACATGATAATCAGACACAGTTGTTAGACCTTGAGCAAAATATGATTTATTTTTAACATACTAAACAATAGCTATTTCTTGGTAATCTAAACTGAACACAGACACTTGAGACTACTTGGTTTCCTTGGAAGGGACAGTGAAAAGGAGGAAGGGAAAAAAAAATAAACCTGATCTCTGTGGGATAGTTTCACAAGAGGCAAGAAGAAGGATTACATTTACCATAAATCCTACTTTCCTCCCTACTGAATGCACAGGCCCTTATAGACACTTTAGCAAGGTAAACTCTTCACCTACTCAAGAACAAGTACAGCTTTCAATGAAGTTGCAGGCACCATTAAAAGCAAAATTATGTGGAACCCCAAACCTGCTTGGGCCAAAGTCAGGCATGGAGCAACTGCATCCTGCCAACAGCACGGCTGGGCCCTCGCACAAGGGCTGCGCTCTCATTTACTGTCCTCCTGCTCTTCGCTGCTGAAAATAAGATTAGGTCAGTGTAACTAGTCTTAATTTGTGTTATGAAACTGGTTAGCTTTCAGAGGAAATCCCTGTCAAGTTATATTTGGTTGCCTTCACTCCCTGCTTTTATGTGGAGTATGACTGAACTTGCAAAAAGAAACCCCCTACCTTGTATTTAACTAGTCTGCTGGCAAATTTGAAAACATAAAATAACACAAAACTTTTTTTGGGCACAGAAAGGCAGAAGAGTGCTTTATATGCAAGCGGTAATGTGTGCATTAAATGGCACTCAAAACTCTTGAGTATATACAAAATGATTTGGCAAGAAGAAGGTTTAGTTTTTTCCTGCCCCTGAGAACATGAGTTACCGCTAAAATTCAGTCTCTGTACAGTACAGGGAGAAACCTTCAGAAAGTACTCACTGACTGACAGGTTAGTCCTCAAAGGCGTTAATGATCCAGAGCTGAATTCTAGCTGCCATGAAGTTTTGAAACAGTATCTTTGAAAACTGTGGTGGGAAGTTCACTGCTCAAGTCACCTACACATCGTGGCACTGGTGCTGAGAACAACCACCATTTGCCTGACTTTTCACACCCCTCACTTGAAGTCACTGGATAGGAATAGCTTAGTTCACTACAGGAACTAAGGCCTTGATAGCTACTCTTCTAATTTTGTGCTAAAAATTCTTCTAAGAAAATTAGCTGTCTAACAGAATTAGTTTACAAATGCTGAAATTCAATGCTTTTCATGAGGTGGAAACCTTAACAAAAATATGCATGGAGTGGGGGTGTGCACATGCTTGCAAGTATAACCGAGTGATTTCATGGATCCATATTGCAGGAAAGAGGAACAGCAGAGGTTACTTGTTTCCAAAGTAGCACCACAAATGAAAACTGAAAAGAAATTGCTATCACTTTGTGAGGATTTTAGCTCTCTCTTACGAGCCCTTCTTTGACTTCCCAAGAGCTGCCATGTACCTCTGCATTATGGAGTGAGGGCCAGCCAGGAAAATCCCCACAGAGAGTCACTGTGCTGCTGCTGCTCCTTACGTGTGGTGACACATTATTTGCGATTTCCATTGAGTTATGCTGTTCCTGCATATCTCTATATGTCAGGCTCACCCCAAAATTAGCTGTGTTCCTAACCACTTTCGATCTTGAGTGAAAAAACATCCTAGAGAATTTAGCTTTTTATCATCAAATTTTTTTAGTGGCACTCTTCTGGTAACAAAACCTCTAGAGTCACTAGGATTTTTATTTTGTAGAAGTGATTTTCCATGTGGAAACCTGAGCACTAGCAAGACCATCCCCCCTTGTAGTGGACATCTGGTCCTCCAGTTTCAGGCAGCCCCTATGGAAGGGACCCCAGGGAAGAAGACTTCAGGTCACTGAGATCTACTCATGCCTTATGCCTATTTGGTAAATACAGCAAAAAGCAAGGTGTAGTAAATTAAGCCCATAGGAGTAGTCTCTGGCTGAGTGTCTTAGAGGTTCTGAGATGTGGGTAAACTTCAGCTAAACCCAACATTTGTTGCAGAGTGATGACTTTCCTGTAAGAACCAATAAATCAAGATCTGGCTTCCACGTTTTGCAAGACCACCTATGATTTCAAGTCCCAAGTGGATGATCATCACTCTTTCCATACATTCTTTACATAATTAGGCTAAACCAGCCATTATTTTTTCACACCAACCTAAGAATTTAAGAATTATGACTGCTGGTACATTTTGTTTTGTCTTCAGTTTCTACTGAAAAACTCAAATAGTCAGAGGAAGGTCCTTTCTCGTTTTCTCAGGAGAACAGCTCCACCGAAGAGATTATTGAGAAATGTTTTCACTTGAGCTTTGCCCATAAAAATGTGTTTTTTCAGGGACTCTCACCCACAAAGCCAACCACATGCACTCACACACGAGCAGCTGAACACTGTGGTTTAGGATAATATTCCCTCATCCTCAACTGGCTTGTCCCACCCCAGGTAAAGCAAAATGTTTATTGTGGCTTAATTTGAATGACTGGTGCAAAATGACATGTCACATAGTGTGAAGGCATAGTTGCTTCTCCTCCATCTCCCTTCAGACATCAAAAAAAGGTAAGGTAAAATTTCACTTTCTCCAAGCCTTTGGCTTCTCTAAAGGTGCACAAATACACAGACACATTCCTATTACTTTCTGACAGAAACCCAGGAAAATCCCAATCCAGAGCCAAATTATCACTCCACTAACAGACACACCTTTGAAAGTATGTCAGATTGCATTACATGAAAGTGTTTGGAGATGATCCCTAAATTGCTGGGATTTGGGTGAAAGGTGTGGGAAGTCTTACACTTTGGCTGCATCTTCAACACAGATTTTTCTCCTCCTCACTCTGCTATTTTCCTAAAGTTCTGACACTGCTGGGAAAACTCTCCTTTTGCTATTCATAAACTCTGAAGGACCAGTCCAACATTTACGATCTATAGTCTTCTTTTGAAAACCAAGAACAAGATTTTCAGTAGCTTTTAGGCATTTAAAGATGCTAGTGGTTTCCTAGTGAGGTCTTCAAACCAGAGCTGTGCACTCAGGTATTCAGAAACCAACTGCAAAGCAGAAAAAATAAGGTCTTCAACTTCCCTCAGTACATAAGTAACTTTTTAGAGAAGCTGAGTTGGATGAGACAGGCAATGAGCTGTAATACTGAAGACTATCCTCGGCATCCCTCCTACTGCCAGGCAGGCTTGCCTTCTAGTGACAGCATCTTTTAGGGATAATCCAGCAGCAGCACACACAACTCTACCACATTTCTCATCACGACTAGTTTTGTCTGATCTCTCCTTCCTTTGGGAGCGGGGAAGAGATGAGCTGTACGGCCAGCACCAAACACAGGCTGCTTCTCAGTACCTGCAGCAGATCCCAAGACCCAGACAGCTCACAAGGCCACTGGGGAGGCTCTGACCTCCTCCCACAAAGATGTCAGCCAAGTCCCATCTAGCACAAGGTTGTTCAGTAAATAAGCCCCCACCTTCCACTTCAGCAAGTCACAGGCACCAGCCCCAGCCAAAATCAATAGATGAGAAGCAATCTGTCATTTCCAGGCCACACTGGTTGGGTTATGATGAGTCAAAAAACATGACAGGAAACACAGATGTAGTGAGATCACCTTCTCTGGAGCCTTCCTATCTCTAGAAGTCTTGCCTCATCTCCCTCAAAATTTCCACGTGGGCCCACAAAAACATCTCGTGTTAAACTGCAGGTGTGCTGTGTGACACTTGGCAGGGCCAAGGGAGCCCAGCACAAGCAGCAGGAGGTTGAGTTCACCCTGAGCTACGGGCAGGCTGGTGTCTCCCTGAAGGAAATTTTTTCAGTTATTTCAAATACCTCCCACTTGCACACAAAGCCCACGTTTTGTAATAAAAACAAGGACAAAATCTCATCCAAAGGAATTCTACCTATTTCCCTCTCTACTTATTCCACTGAAGTTATCTTTTTAAAAAAATAAACCCCCCAAAACTGGTCACCAGAACAACAAAGTAGCCAAGAAGCTAATTTAATAACCTCATTCTTCAAAATCCACCCTGCCCTTCACACTTGTAGGTTTCAACAACAGTCCTAAATCATCCAATATCTTCTAATTTTTTTAAAGGTTTTGCTGCATTTCTGTTTTCATACGGGCAGTGCTTTTCCTTTGTGAGAGATGCACAGAATGGTGCAAATTTTCCAGTAGCTGGGATTTTCCCTGCAAACTGAGGCAGGTGTCACACTACAGAGAGGCAAAGCTGCTGCAAGTTACTTGTTATGGTATAGAATTGGGCAGGAAGGCCAACAGAGGACAGAATGGGGACATCTCCCCCCCCACAAAAAAAAAGGAAAAAAGAGATTGCTTAGTGTTTTATGCGCCCAGATGAAGCTGCAGTGGGTTAATAAGTTACCATGTCCCAGCCAGGCCACAGTAACTGATCATGCACAGACTGTCCTTGAAGTCCAGTGCCATTGGGCTTTAAGCAGAAATACCACATCCTAAGGCCCTAATCCTTTAGCTCACAGCAGCACAGCCAGCTGTGGGCTAAAAGCCACATTAAACTCACTGGAGGAGAAGCATTTGCTGAAATGCTGTGCTGAACAAGGATGAGCAACTGTGCTTGCACTTTGCCACATGGCAGCCGGTTACATCCAAGACTTTGAATTCCTGGGAAAGAAAGTGACTGCAGAAACTCAACTGTGCAACATATGCTCCACCTAGTGTTTACTCACTAATATTTCATTTTCTTAAATGGTTGTTTCGCTGTTAACACACAGTTCCATCTTTTCTGTAGTTCATTTGTCTTTATAGAATTATTACTGAAAATAACAACCTTCTGCTTGTGGTTCCAACTACATAATTTTTATTTAGCCTCCACTACACCTTCAGTAATGATAATACATGCCCTCATCACACTGGGGCGCAGCAGCTGCTGGGAGTGAGTCCCAACAGGCAGTTTGGCAAAGCTCTGCAGCACTAGTGACTTGGAAGAGCAGGGGGGCTTTTCCAGGTGCCCAGGTTGGGTGCAAGGCATCTTTGCATGGTGGAAAAGCAGGGACGGAGGGACAGACATCAGGCCTGGCAATTGCCAAAAAGGGCAGGATTTGGTTGTGGGATAAAATACTCCAACACATGGAGAGTCTCATTTTACCATAAGCTCTCCCCAGTTTGCACTCCTCTACGGAGTTCCTAGTTCCTGATTTGCTGTTCACCTGCTGGTAAATGCCCTTACTGCAGAAAGGAAAGCCAACAGCAGATGGGACAAGACTTCCCATCTTTAGAAAACAGTAGAAGACGTTTAGAAAATAGTTTAACATTCCCAGAGAAAGTCTTGGGTTGGCTGATCTGACTGGAGCAGTGATGACTCAGGCAGCCCTTAGATGGCCCACTTCTGGGTAGAGGCTGAGATGATCCCAGCCCAGTTTTAAGGCAGGAACTGGTAAGACCTGCAATAGGAACAGACTCTGCAGCCATGGGGCATAGGCACAGATTTAAGCTGCGGAAACTGAGCTTTCATTGCTGTGGAGAGCGGAAGGGGCACTGACAATTTAGCTTCCTTGGGCAGAAAGTGTTTATAAGACCCCCACATCCCCTGCCTGCTCTTCCCCTGTGCCAGAGCTTGCAGCAGAGCTTGCCCAACCTGTGCTGTGGTGCTGACACAAGTGAGAAAGCAGCAAACTGGGAGCAGGTGTGAAGAAACTGCAGAGGGCACCCCTGGGGTAGCATAAAACTAAATACATATAAGGACATTTACCGTATTAGTACTGTTTGAGTAAAAGCCTCCAATAAACCAGATACAGGCCTGCTGCTCGATGTCCTTCAGGGCAGTGCACAAACCAGAGCCAGTTTGCGGAGGTTTAGGTCCAGTTTGCTGCAGAAAATGAGAGCATGTTGCCCTAATGGGAAACACAGACCATGAAAATCTTCTGCCAACTGTGGGTTTTGTGGTGTTTTTTTGCAGGTGATGGCCGCGCTGCTCTTCCCTGTGCAGCTGCTGGCAGTGGCTGTCACCGTTTACCTGGAGCTGGTGAGGTCTGCTCAAGGAGGTGCTTACTATGGGATCAAGCAGCTGCCACCTCAGGTGCCCCAGTACCAACCTCTTGGACAACAAGTACCTCACATGCCGCTGGGCAAAGAAGGCATCCCAATGCAGCACATGGGCAAGGAGATGCCCCACATGCAGTACGGGAAAGAGTACCCCCATCTGCCTCAGTACATGAAGGAGATCCCACAGAGGCCCCTGCTTGGCAAGGATATGGCTCCCAAGAAAGAGAAAGGTAGGCTGGGCATGTCCCTCCCCAACCCTGCACGATCCCACCCAGTGCACCAGAGCACTGTTTGCTGGAGGGGGGGCCTGAACATTGGAGCAGGCTGCTGCAGGCTGGGCACAGCACCCCTGTGCCCAAAGGACTGGCCAGGTTGGTACCTGGCCACAGGTGGACAAAACAGGCTGTGGGGCAGCTCAGGGTCACCAGCACAAGTCCGCAGTCATCCTCTGGACTGCAGCACAGCCTCTGAGCAGCCCTACCTGTGATGAGCCTCCAGCACCCAGGGCTGGCCCCAATTTGCCTGGGTGCTTGTTCGAGGTTAGAAGAAACCTCGTAATCCCACCTGCCTGCAGAAGTCCCTCTGATAGGGTTTCAAAGGATGGCCCAGGTAGATGGGCCAGGGTCCTGCCTGGATCTGCTCCCACTCTAACTGCAGGAACCAGACATAAGAGCTAACAGCCCCAAGATTCGAATTTATGAGAACATCACAGTTATGTCTGAATTTGCCCAGACTCTGTGATTTAGAGGTTTGCAGATAAGAGTATACAATTGCTCTTCCAACTCTAGAGTCCTCTTTCTATAGGTTATTTATGGGTGTAACAGAAGATTGAAAGTACAGAGGTTTACTGCACAAGTCTGCACGTACAAGCACTTTCTGTATTCAGTAAAGGAAGTTTGGACAGTATTAAGATATTTAACAAAATAAGAAAGAAAGTCCAAATACAAAGGGTGACCAGGAACACCCAGTATCATAAAATCCTTGTGAGGACAGCCAGCGTCTGTGTGACTTCAGACAAGCTGGTTAACCCTTTGTCTTATTGAGGCTTCAGCTAACCACAACGTCCACTGGCTTCAGAGGGAAATGGAATATTTTTGGACTGTCTGAACAAACACCACTGGCTGCGAAATCAACCCATCTCATGAGCAAAGATCTTCTACGTGCATAAAACACAACATGTGCAGAGAGGAAGGGTTTCTGCCTCTCAAAGAACAGTTAATTCTCTTGTCCTGAAACCTCATCTCTTGCCTTCCCCCAAGCCTCTCACTTTTTTATCCCTTTTAGAGCTGGAGAGATTTTCCACTTAACATGAAAAGCCTGCAGCTTGAAAAGCAACTGACCCCAGCACAAACACTCACACACAGAAACTCCCTCCCTGACCTGCAACGCTGTGGTCGCATACACAAAAATGTGGGTTTGGACAATAGAATGACTTTGCAAAACATTTAGAAGAGATGGTTAAGGACGTAGGTTGGTTTCCAGTAATACCTTAATGGGATCCAAAGCCTTGGTGAATACAGACATACCTACATACAAACCTTACTGACAGAATCTTTTTTAATTGATCTTGCTCATGCAAGCCCTCCAGCAAAAGTACTTTTATGCCAGGACTCCTCCTACAGCACGAAAGCACCGAGCAGCTTCTGTGTCTTGTAAAAACTCTTAAAGGTAGATTAATGTACAGTAAATATGGGACAACGTGCAGATTTTGCTGTTTAAGACTGTATAGGTGGAGAATACTAGTAAAGCACAAATAGCTTTTACATATGATGCACAGTAATTATTTTATGGAAACAGACACATGCATGGAAGTTTGGGGTATGCAAAACAGTAGCAACATCCTCTTCGTTCCCAGGACCAACCTGTACTGGCTAGCTGGCTCTACCTACCACAAACCCACGAGGCATCATAACAAGCACATTCCGTTCAAAACTGCCTTTATGTTTTTTGAAGGATGTGACTGCAATCACCTTTTGTCTCTCTCCCTCCCCCTTTCTTCTTCTTTTCTTCCCAACCCAGAAATGCCCATACGCAGTCTGAGGGGTGAGCAAGGCCCCCCTGGTGAGCCAGGACCAAGAGGGCCACCGGGGCCACCTGGATTACCAGGCCATGGCGTGCCAGGAGCCAAAGGAAAACCAGGCCCACAAGGATATCCAGGAATTGGAAAGCCGGGTTTGCCAGGGATGCCAGGAAAACCAGGGGTCATGGGGCCCCCGGGGCCAAGAGGGGAGATGGGGCCAAAGGGGGAGATCGGGCCTATGGGAATACCTGGACCACAAGGACCACCAGGACCTCATGGGCTTCCTGGTATAGGGAAAGCAGGTCCTCCAGGTCTGCAGGGACAGCCAGGGCCAAAGGGCGAGCCTGGGATGAAGGGGCCACCAGGAATCCCTGGGATCCCAGGGCCAAAAGGGGAGAAGGGCATTGGGATCCCAGGTTTGCCAGGTCTGAAGGGTCCACCCGGGCTGCCTGGTCCCCCTGGCCCTGTGGGGCTGCCAGGGGTTGGCAAACCAGGCATGGTTGGCTTTCCTGGGCCACAGGGACCCCTGGGTAAACCTGGACCCCCAGGAGAGCTAGGGCTGCAGGGGCCTCCAGGGGCCCCTGGGATCCAAGGCCCTCCTGGCCCGCCTGGCATCGGCAAACCAGGCCAGGATGGCATGCCTGGCCAGCCAGGCTTCCCAGGTGGCAAAGGAGAGCAGGGATTGCCAGGCCTACCAGGGCCCCCAGGCCCCCCTGGGGTTGGGAAGCCAGGCTTCCCGGGGCCCAAAGGTGAGCGAGGTGTGGGTGGGCTGCCCGGCCCCCTGGGGCCGAAGGGGGAGAAAGGGCATGCGGGACCACCTGGCATGGGGGGGCCACCAGGAGAGCCAGGCCAGCCGGGATTGCCAGGCATCATGGGACCCCCAGGGGCCGCTGGTTTCCCAGGACCCAAAGGAGAGGGTGGACCTGTGGGGCCACCGGGACCGGTCGGCCCTAAGGGAGAACCTGGCCTGCAGGGTTTTCCGGGAAAGCCAGGCTTTCCTGGGGAAGTGGGAGCCCCTGGGCTTCGGGGGCTGCCGGGCCCCACAGGGCCCAAGGGGGAAGCAGGACACAAAGGCTTGCCGGGGCTGCCGGGTGTCCCAGGGCTTGTGGGGCCAAAGGGTGAGCCGGGGCTCCCTGGTGCCCAGGGGCTTCAGGGCCCCTCAGGCATCCCCGGCATTGCAGGACCCAGCGGCCCCATCGGCCCCCCAGGGCTGCCAGGGGCGAAGGGGGAGCCAGGCATGCCTGGACCCCCTGGCTTCCCTGGAGTAGGCAAACCTGGGGCTGCAGGGTTGCAGGGACCCCCAGGGAAGCCTGGGGCACTCGGTCCTCCTGGTCAGCCAGGGCTCCAGGGGCCACCGGGCCCCCCCGGGCCCCCAGGTCCCCCAGTCATCATCCAACCCACTCCACCAGCTGTGGGAGAGTACCTGCCTGAGGTGGGGCCAGGGATAGACGGCGTCAAGCCCCCCTATGGTTACAAGGGCAAGAAAGGCAAGGCTGGTGGCATTGTCTACGAGATGCCTGCGTTCACGGCAGAGCTGCTCACCCCCTTCCCCCGGGTTGGGGTGCCCGTGAAGTTCGACAAGCTCCTCTACAACGGCCGGCAGAACTACAACCCCCAGACGGGGATCTTCACCTGCGAGATCCCCGGCGTCTACTACTTCGCCTACCATGTCCACTGTAAAGGGGCCAACGTGTGGGTGGCTCTGTTCAAGAACAACGAGCCGCTGATGTACACCTACGATGAGTACAAGAAGGGCTTCCTGGACCAGGCTTCGGGCAGTGCCGTGGTCCAGCTCATGCCTGGAGACAAGGTTTACGTTCAGATGCCATCCGAGCAGGCAGCAGGACTCTATGCCGGGCAATACGTTCATTCATCTTTTTCAGGATATTTATTGTATCCCATGTAAAACAAAAAACCAGACACACTCACACACAACAACCCACACACACACACGAAGTCAAAACCTTTCTCCTCTGCTTCAACTTTTATACCACAAAAGATGCATTTTATGACCATTTTGGACCATCTTGTACAAAAAAAAGAATAAATACAAAGTTTAACATTATGCACAGCTAGTTATAAAAACAAAAAGGTGTGGTGAACATATCTAAAGATGCATATCAGGTTCATAAGCAGTTGTTTTGCACCCAAGGGGGACATATTAGCTGTACGTTATATATTTCTGCAATGCCATGCTTACTTAATTTCATTCACAATAACTCAGTACTAAAGTTCAAATTAGTGTACGTCACTCACTCCTGTTGCATTGATCATAGTTATGAGATGAAAAACGGTGACTTAAACCAGAGTAGGTCAGTCTCTAATTATAACAAAAAATTTGAGTGGCTTATTTGTCTGGGTGGGGGGTTTCTTGGTTTTTTTGACAGCAGGTCTGCCTGACAAAGCAAAGGTTCTCGTAGCTGAAGACCTTTATGTCCCTTCCCCCATATAAAATATTCCTGCAGGTAGTTTTTTTCCTGAATGATTTATGATGGAAAAGGAGTATTGATGCTGTAACTAACCAATTCCCCTGAGTCTTCTCCAGCAGTCACTGGACTCAAAATGCTGCCACTGACTCCAGCAGGCACTGGTTTCACCTCCAAAGGCCACAGCACTCAAAATGTCTCCATCTCTATTTGCACAGCTGAAGTAGATGAGGTAAATCAGAGACAAAAATGAAGGGCTCCCCATTTACTTTGTGCCATGTCATTGAGACATTTTGTCTTACACAGGGTGGCACAAATTTGCTTGGATGTCTGTGCTTATACTAAGAACCCATTTGGCTTGTCAGAAGAAATACCTATTCTGCCACTCAGCAAAAGTTAAATCAGTTTGCTCTTCAATGACTAGGCAAAGCAGAAGTAGCTCTGTTTGCTAATTAACTAATTTGTTGCTTGAGATCAACCGATAAGTTTACCAGCAATGCTGATCACTCAAATTTATCCAAGAACTTCATTCTATCTAAAAGCTGATTTCCAATCCTTATTTATATGTTACCAGTTGTCAAGGAGAACCTGCAGGCCTCAACCTTTCCTGTACTTGAGGACAGCGACTTCTCTGCAAGAAGTCTCTGTCTGCTCATCAGTGGTGCTACTCTCACCTCAACAGTGTTCCGTTTCCAAAGGGCAGCGTACTTTACTGTGGTTCCCTGTACAGTGCTGCACATCACACACTGCTGCGCTAGTTGAGTTAAATACTCATCACTTCTTCCATGTCTTTAGCTAACGCTACCGCTTTTGAGTGAAAAATGAACTAGATTTTTCATGCAGAACTCAGATTGGATTTAACTGGCATTACCATTATTTAAATGCAGAGTTTAATGCAGTCTAACATTGACTAAGGACTCCAGTGATATAATGTGGTGCTTTATCTCAGAAATTTTATGGAACGGTGGCAGGAATGGACGGACAGTTTACCAGACACTGGTGACTTCAGTATGTTCCCAGAATATATGAGATATGTCAAAAGCAAATAATTTTGTATTTAAAATTTTTGTACTGATTTGAAAAAAAAAATATCTTATTAAATATCTTTAAAAATAAAACCAAAAAACAATTGTGTCTTCATTCAGAACTGTTAGAAGGAACATTCAATCTGCTGAATTCATGTATCGGACCACAACGACTCTCTGAAACCACTGACAGCTGGACACGAGGAAAAAAACAAAAAAGAGAGATATCCTTTTCTTTAGTTCCCAGCAAAATGTCCCCAAAGCTGCTGGGGAAATGCATTGTCCCACATTTAGTGGGAGGGCTCGGCAGCAGCCGGGGTGATGCACAGAGCGTGGGGCTCCCTCAGCAGCCTGTGAGGACAGGTGCCTGCTCAGCACAAGTCGATGTGGCAGTGCAGCTTAAAAAGACAGAGGGGCAGCAAGAAGGAAGCCAAGGGATCTGTTGCAGAAGCATGCTGGTAAGGATTTGCACTCACCTAGAAAGTCAGAACTGGCTGCCCAGGCTGAGAGATGCTCATCACATCCCTGGTTCTCCTGATGTGGCTTCCCTGATCTCACCTCAGAGACAGGCATTTTCCTTGAAGCTGGCAAACTCCTAAATTGTCCGTACTAAAAGGAATGCACTGAATATCTACTGCATCAAGTAACTGTTACCTAAATCTCCCTTAGATTCCCTTAAGCCCCCCAGCATCTCATTTTTACTGCACAAAAAGATTATGAACAAAGTACCACAAGTGTCTCTATCTCACTTTCTCACTTTTGAAGTCTTTTGTCACACACCATCTTCTGCTTTAGCATTCCCCTGAAAGTCCACAATAAGACAAGCAAGATTCAAAAAAACGTGAAAAAAATTCAAATCACAACGATGCTGCCCTTGACCTTATCCACAAAAACCATGTCCCAGCTTTGCTTGTACTCAGTCTGGAGTGAGATCTCCATCCACAGAACAAGTCATCCCACCTGGGTTCAAAAATTTTCAGCTGTTTGCTCCACTAAGCATCAAAGTTTGTTCCAAAACTTGATACCATATTTGACAACATATTTGATACATATTTGACACACCAATCGTTATGGGGCTGAGCATACCCACACATCCACACTCACACACAGAGCAGTGGTCTTGGAAAAATAAGTCTGAGGGCACTGTCTTTTTAACAGTTTATTCACAGGAAAATAATCTCTTTCTAAATTTTTAGCATTCAAAATTTCACTTGAAACAACTGTAAGAATGTCTTCAAAATACAGCTGGCACTTTAAAGGCGTATAAAACTTAAGACAAATGGCAAATAAAATAAGTATTTACTGATACCAAAACCACGTTGAGTTTAGTATGTTCTTAAAAATCAAGAGTCCACTTAAAAGTTAAGCTATTGATACTCTACCCCCCAGGGCATTATTAAAAAGGAAAGCATGGCATAGGAAACAAGAAGTACCATATGCTAATTTTTAAACATCAAAGTTGCGATTCTGTATTATCACCACCAACACAGTCACTGGAAATGTAATTTAGTAACATCATCTAGGCACTCTCAGATTCACATTTAGTGCAATAGTCCATGACCTTCCTTCTTAAAATATCTCAGTACTTCCCTTAATTATTACAATGGAGGAAAAAATACTTTCCCAACGGGAAACAAAAAAAAAAGCGAACCTGAAAGTCTGAGCCAAACAAAGCTTTCAGCTGACACGTGTCATCCTGCCCATTCACTGCATATTTTGGTATCTTAGAGCTGGGTCTTTCTGACTGGGCACTCTTTTGAGGGGGGTAGCAGATAAAATGCAGAAGCACCTTTGCTGTAAGATGCTGCTCTCTTGAAATTCAGCAGGCTGCTGGGGAACAGGACGGAGTAAGATGGGAGGCGAGCATCTCACTTCACAACTGAGAGAGAAAGAAAAATTATAGGAGACACTGGGTACCTATACAGACACTGTTACCAGATGTGGAAATAAAGCTGGCAGCACCCTGGGATCCAAAATTGGTAGCTTTGCCCCTGATGTGATAAAAAAAATTGGATAGCTTATTAAGAGAAGTTTCAGTGCAGAGATTTCACTTTCAGGAATGGCAAAAACGGAAGAAGAAAGTCTTTCTTTATAGCACCTCACTCTCAGAAACAATCTAAATATTTGGAGTTAGCATTATTGTTTTTTATTAAAAGCCCAAAGTAAAGTCTTTGGTACTGCAGTACACCTGTGAAAACGTGTGCCCAGACAGAACAGACACTGTGATCTGTGAACATTGCTGAGAAACCCACTACACATGGGTATTCCTGCCTGAACAAAGTCAGTGCCAAAACCATACCTGTCCTTGAGGCAGAGTAGCAGAAATTATGTGAAACAGGTGATGAAGCAGGGCTGGCCTACACATAATCCTACCAAAACATCTCATGGAGGGGAAAATTAATTACTTGGTTCACTGCTTATTACTGAAGAGAAAAGCTACTGGTCTGCAAGATGGGCTTTCAAAAAAGTCTCATACTTTGTGGTTCTTCAACAGTATCCGCTCTTGGCTCGGTCCCAAGTACACAGGTTTGGTTCTAAACGTTACTCAGTCACCCTGGGACAATAACAGTGGCATACACGGACTGAACATCCCTGCAGGAGCCCAGAAGTGGGGGAAAAATATCCCTGAGAGTATTGCTTAATTTCAAAAATTACAATTACAAACAGAGAGACTTTGTAAAAAATAAAAAGGTGAAGCCAGTATAGATAAATAACTGTAGACAGTGTATTAAATGCCTTGAGAATACCAAATGTATTATTTAAAAAAAAAAAAACGTGTCTTAGGGAGACCAATAAAGCTGATGTGATTAAGAAAAAAGGGATCTATTTTAAGTACAAAGAGTTTGGGAGACACCATTTGTTTGCCATGAAGTCTTTTTTTCAGTTATTTTGTTTGTTCTGCTATAGTTAGAATCCAAACCTCCCACAAAAAGCAGAAAACCACTTAGGAGAATCAGAAGACAAAGTCAGTTTAGATTAATGGGAAGAATATCTCTGGAGACAAAACAAAACAGAGAAAATAACCACATCCTCAAAAGCAGAGCTCCCTACCCACTTCCTGCCACTGGAGACGGGTGGAGAAGCAGAGGGAAGCAGCTTGCTCCACCACAAGCACTCTCTTCACAGTGTCTGGAGCAAATCCAACAGCTCTCCAGGAAAAAAATCCTTACAGACAGCATACTAAGAGACATTACACGGATGCAGCTGGATCGTGGCAGCAGCCATGGGAGAGCTGGGGGCCCCAGCTCTGGAAGTGACTGCAGATTTTGAGAGCGAAGAGGCAGCCCCCCACTTCTGCCTGCCTCAGTTCTCAACACACAGTCTAAGATCTACCAAGGACTTCTATGCAACAAGAGCTTGGACAACACTGCAACCTCTGCGAACAGCCTTACCACAGCATCGTTCTCACATGGAATTACTACTGCTGCCAATAGTTTAAATCACTGCAGGTCTGGGGCTGCAGACTGACATACAAACCTTTTTAACTAACTGAAATAACCAGGAGAAATAAATGCAGGTAGAGACGAAGACAGCACTATCACTATTTTTTGTTTGTATTCACATTTTTAAGCAAAGTTCTCCTAAAAGCCTCAGAAACGTGCACGTTTAGGGGGGGAAAAAAAAAGACATAAAAAATTGAGTAAGAGCCCTTCTGCAACCTGGTGAAGAAATTGTGATTTCCTCCATTTCCACTACCTGCTCCGGTGCCCTAGGACCTCCCAGATTCCCTTCTCCTCCACGCTCTTGCCTGCTGCCCTGCACATGGCTGGACTGCAGCTGCACCCAAGGGACACACAGCTGACAAGACACCACAGTACAGCCCGTTCCTTGCTGGGGACACATCTGGGTCCTTCCCCACCCCATGCCACAGATTTTTCTGATATCCGGAGTTATTTCAGGCATGTCCAGCTTGCCTGAAACACACCAAAGCTCAGGTGAAAACACAAGCCTCCTCCCCTTCAGCTGTGGCACCCCTCCAAATCACACCGCTCTCACTAATTCCCAAATGGCAGAGCCAAGGAGCTAAAGATGGAAATGAGAACTATGGGAAGGTGTGTGCTTGTTTGTTTGAAATACCTGCTCCCCAAGAGTAATAGAAAAAAGAAAGACTCTTTAGTTACTTCATTGGTTATTCCTCTACATTGCTGCAGCAAAGAAATTGGGTTCAGTACTTTCGTAATCCTCAGCTTCTGAAAAGAAGAAATACCATGCTCTTGACCTATTAGAGGTTTGTATTCATATTGCAGTTGTTTGCATTACCCTTAAATGCACTACCTATATAATTTTATTTAAAAGCAGCAAAGGTATTTACTGCTTTAAACTTTAAATTAACATTAAACTTTTTTTTTTTTTTGGAAGTCCACTTCTTTGTATTTTTTTAGATATGACTGATTAAGACAACCACAAAATCTTCCAACAAATATGCCACAACTAAAATAAAAACTTCATATACACACCCTGTGCAAGAATTAGAACAGCATATTACCTGTTGTTCTTTGACAATTGTCAAGTGCATTCCCAGGTAGACTTAATTTATTCAGCAGGCTTGTCAGAGACAAACCAATACAGAAAACATAAACGCCCCATTAAATTTCAATTAAAATCTCAAGTAAATTCCCATTGCTAAATGATTTAGTTCAGCCACATACTTTAAATCTAAATGTCAGGACAGGAGAGGTAAACAGATGCCAAATGGTAATTCAGCTGAGGTACATCTTGGATATTCCTACCACACTCCACTGCCAAAAATGGGAGTCTTCATTGCTTGTATTGATGCATTTCAAAGGTGGAAATGCATTACAGCATCCGAAGAAGGAGATTGTGCTCATTTGGAAAAATCCACCTCAATTCTTGGGGAGCAAACAGAAAAATACATGACATCCTGCCCTGGAGACCTAGGAATCCAACAAGCATTGACTCTAAACTCAGGCATGAACATCTATCCCAGCTCACATTTCCATTGTGCGTGCCTGACACGCGGGTAGTTCGGACAACTCTTCAGTCTTCATACTCCCTCTTTTGTAAGTCAAGTCAGCAACTGTAAAATTTACTGGATGCACAGCACAGGGAATATGATTCTTCCATAAAATGGGTACACCACAAGCATTGTAATATCAACATCTCCACAAACTGGACCCAAGGGTCTTCACCTTTGGCAAAGGCAAACAGCAGTTCAGAGTCGACGGGCAGCGCACAAGCTGCGCGTGCCTTCTTTGCTGACGGTGGATGTCCTCTGCTCAGGAGTATGGCAGAGCAAAACCCGTACACTCTGTATGTCCACCCTTCTCCAAAACATACAGTAATTATTTATAGGCACAGTTTTAAAGCCACTTCCATACTACAAGACAGATACTCAATACTTTACATCCATCTACTAATTAAACACTGGTCATCTCAGTCTCTTGACAGTGGAACCCTTTTGGAGGACATCATCATTTGGAAACAGTTCTCACTGATAAATAAGGGATGTGCATCACATTTTTATATATCCCTGATACTTTCAGCTGAAAGTGTCACGGTTTTCCCACTATTAAATAGCTTCACAGAAATTCAATTAACTCTGTTTGCAGTAGTCCATTACCCTCAGGCTTAGAAGAAGCCTTGGTGAGGTTTCTGGGCTCCTTTTAAACAGTAAACAGTTATGCTGCACTTAAAAAATAAAAATGTCATACAAAAAATAAAAATTTTTCAAATCTTGAAAATAGTGATTCTTCTTTGTATTTTCCATTCAGCTTTCACGTCAAATTGACCACAAAATTCTTGTCTATAAGCTTCTTCAAGAATTTCTGCTCAGCACTGATGTTGTGATATTCATTCTAAAAAGATGTGAGGGAATAATAAAAAAAAAATAAGTATCAAATTATAACCAGAAGCACCACTTCACTGTTATCTTCTTTCTATTACTTGTGATACTTGGAAGATGCTAAGAGTAGGAAAGTTCTGGGGAAAAGACTTCTTTAGCAAAGGCTTAGCACAGTCTCTCAAGAAAACAAGGGATTATTGCTCAAAACTACATTAGATTTTTCCACTAGGACACAACCAAAAAGGATGATCCTTTGGTGGCAAGAATGGGTGAGATGTGGTCTCAGGGAAGTCCTTCCATTATTAACCCTCTCAACTCCTCACTCTGCTTAGAGACAACTGAGGGACCACATTTACAGCACAAGCAGTAAGAAAATGAGTAATTCTCAAAACTCAGTGCAGGTTCTTGAAAAGCACATCAGATGCATCCTGCCAATCAGCTTCAGCAAGCCAAAACCAATCCATCTTCTGTGCTATACCCAGATCCCAGACACAGAGACCACCAAGGTTAGTGGAGGGCAGCACAAGGAAAGTAAATTTACTCAGGCACTGAATCCAGTAAATTAAAATGAATAGAATACAAATACTGCATAAAATACTAGACATGTGTAGCGTAATATTTACAACTTAATGACACTGAAGAATTAACAGAAAGATTTTTGTTGAGTAGTTTGTTTTTTTAAGTTTAAAGATTTTAGGAAACATCACCTGCAGAGAGGAGCCCCAAAATGAAGGTGAGTTCAGTGTTAGAGGAAAATTATCTCAGAACAGCAGGCACCTAGGAGTCCTGAGAGAGACATGAGAGGCTCTTACAGGCATTGTCCCTACCCATCCTCTTCAGGAAAAGGAAGAAGAGGAAAACGGTCCCCATATGCTCTGGGCAAATGGAAGAGAAAACTTCACACTGAGGTGAAGGGCTGAGATGGGGTTGCTTGGAGTACAGAGCCAAAGGCAACTGAATATAAGAGCAGAAGAAACAGAAGAAAACAGAGGCATGACCATAGCAAAACAGCAGGGAGAAGAGGAGGCATCCCTGATGTTTGCCAGGCTCCTGCTGCTTCCTCTCCTGTTGAATTGTGGCTTCCCCATCCTGGAAGCAGTACCTTCTCTTCCTATCCTCCTCCAAGAGCTGCTTCTCTTTTCTGCTTTCCATTTCCAAAATTCAGTTCTTTTCCTAACTGCAAGTTCATAGGTCTTAACTCCTTCCATTTCCCTTTGCTCTTCTTTCTGTCCTTTAAGGGGTCTGGCAGCTATGACAAATTGCGCAAGCAGGTGCCAAGGAAAAAGAGAATGCAAACAGAAACAACACCACTCACATTCTGACAGTGTTAATGAAAACATCTCTATGACACAACATGTGCAACCTAAGGACAACACCAGCAAAGCAAAACAGAACGCACAAGCGGACGTATCTCATGCAGACATTGCAGAACATGGTGTAGCACAAGGGACACAAATATCATTATCTACATTCTTGAAAAACAAAAGCAGAGAGGAGGAGATTCAAGCAATGTTAGTCTGCAAGCAGCTGAACCAGAAGGCAGGAGGCTTTCTGACCTGCAGTCCACTCTTCTTATCTATATTAAATTCCCTTCCGCAGTTATCAGCTATAATTCTCTCAGCACAAACAAGTTATAGTTACCTGCATCATCTGAGACATGGTTTCATTGCCATAGTAGTGCAAAGAACTGTTTCTGTCAGTGAAGTCGTACTTGAAGCCTGCCAGGTGGACTTCGTGGCATATATGAAATGCTAGTGTAATGGCAATCAGCCCTGTTGTTGGATGCTTGGGTTTCTAAAACAAAACACAGAGATAACACATACATAAATACCTGGTAGCTTAATGGGAACAGCAAACTTAATAACAAAGACAAGGCAAATCAGGCAGCCTTGGTTTCATAGTTTGATCCCCTCCTGTCTCAAAAAGAGGAAGGTACTGCCCACAGATTTCCCATGACCAGGGGGTCTGCCATGTCAGCCCTCCCTGGGATTCTCTGGTTTCTAGTGAGAAACTGGTCAGGCTTCATTACATTGGAGACCATTTCACCTATCTAATATGACTGAATTACCAGATGTGTTCAGAAGTTTCTAGATGACGGAGACTCAGATGAACAGAACATGACATAGCCCCAAATCTTCATAGCCCCAAACTAAAAAAGCATGAATGCTACTGCCACACAAATTTGACTGAATTTGAATTTTTTCAAAGCAGGGAAATTCCAGAAGACCATTGCTTTAGACCTTCCCCCACTATTCACATTAGAAGAAGAGAAACCTCTAAGTAAAACCTCTTATTTCTCCCTATAGTAAGAACAGCTCAGAAGTAAATGCTATGTGAAATATCAGGAGCAGGATATAAACAGGTTTTAACTGTGCAAGATTAAGAGCACCCAGTGAAAAGCTAGCACTTCTCACAAAAGCAGAGAACAACTCCATGCAACCATCTGCCTTATCTTGTGGTCAAGTACATGATTTTTTCAGCAGCAGGAGCTACAATGATCTGGGGAAGTAAATGAGGCAAGGTTTTTTAGAGAGAGGTGAACTCTTTCATTAAACCAATAGATGAAGCTAAGGTGAAAAAGTGTCCCCAGAAATGGACAAAACTTTCAGGCACCAATGCTCTTGTTAGCTAAAATAACATTTTTCTCAGAGACCAAATGAACTATGTGCTATCGGTAGCTGCAATCAAACATCAAACTGAGCACAAAATGATATGGTTTTTTTGAAACTGTTACCAAAGGCTCACTTCATTTGTCTCCGAAAATGAAGCAGACAAACCAGTACTGGACATCTCTGTGCACAGAGAAGGCAGATGCACTCGATGTATTTCTTTATGTCATATAATAACACAAAAAATCCCCAGGAAAATGCTAGTCTTCTCAGCTCTGTAAGTCTAAAGTCACAGAACTGAACCCTCGCCTTTTATGTACAATTTTTTGTTCCTTTATACAACTCTTAGAGTACTCCAGAAATAACATCTTTTTAAAATGCGCACTGTTGCCCAGGGCTCCTGCCAAGTTAGCAAAATAACTTTCTGCCCTAGGGGCCCAATTTCATAAACTTAGTGGTGACTCTGTTGCAACATCCATACTAAACAGGACCTCAAAACTATGGCAGGAATGCTACACTTCAGGATTAGTGCTATTTGGAAATATCAGGAATATCACGTTTTTAACTAACATTGTTCACCTTTGGCTATCATAAAATTCACCTCAAAAGAATACAGTTTAAAAGGTAACTACTTTTAAAATGTATTATCGTGATACCACTCTAGCAACATCCAGATATCCTCAGCCTGTAATGAAATTATTTCAGCCAGTCACATTTAATGAGAACAGCCTTGGAATGAATCCGCAACACTTTCTGATTTCAGTGCTGCTGAGGCAACACATCCAGTTTTATTCCTGGCTTTACTAAAAATCAGAAATGCTTGTTGGCTATGGACAAATGCACACACTGGGAACTCAAGACTGGCTTAATGGAAGAGGCAGGGACAGCTGGAAAAGCAGCAGCAGTCATTGGTGTCTCCCACAGGCAGAGGGGGCTGAAGCACAGGACAGGGAAGGCAGCACTAGCCCTCCCCAGGGACACACTAAGGTACAGAGGGTCCCGAAGTGAATCCTGCAAAAGGTTGTCCTGCCCACGGGAACCCAAGAGGCACAACCCGCAGCTTAACCGAGCTGCTCCAGGGCCACTGCAGATGTGCAGGCTCCCAGCCACGGCCCGCCTCTAGGATGGGAGGAAAAGTGAGGAAGAGTCTGCCTTAGACTGATCACTGCTGCCCCAGGGACAAGAGACTGCAAAACCCCTGGAATGGAGTAAATGGGAACTGGAGGTGGCAGAAGGGGGCTCCAAACACGGAGGGCTCCAAACTCTACCCCAGCTCTGTGCAGGGGCACCTAGAGAGCAGCAGAGAAGCAAAGGGTGACCGAGGGACCTCTGCCTCTCTACCAGCTTCAGGACACCAGGACACCATTTCTCTGACTCACTGACAGGTCCAGTTTTAACATCTACACCAGAAAAAACAGGAGAAATTTCTGGACCCATGGAGGCCATAGAACATCTGTGGCCATTTGGGAGATAGTCAAGCATCCAATTATTATGCTGCTTTCTTCCCACCCTCTGCTGAAAACCTGAAATGCCACGGAGCCTCAGCAAGCACATAGCTAAAATGGCTATTCCAGTTCCAGAGCTAATAAGAGAGAAAAAAAGCCACTACTGCGCTCAAAAAAACAGACAGAAATTTTGAAAAGAGAAAAGGCAGAGAAACTCCCAGAAACAAACAAACAAAAAAAAAAAAATCTCCACTCCATCAAAGATTAGAAAGATTAAACCAGAAAACAGTTGTGGCAGATACTGCACAGTGACAGCCTGTCAAACGTTTCCACTCGTGTCAGTTGGCTGGTGCCCACTAAGCAGCAATGTAACCCCAGGAATTTTATCTGTGCTAAACAGCACTTGGTCAACCCTGACTGCACAAGGGAGGTCTCCAGCTTGAAGCCTTACCTTTCATGAGAAACATTCTTCAGTCATAAACTGACACTTAAAATGTATTTTTATGTCCAAATTGCTGGTTAGCTCATTACGATGCTTGGCATCAAATCAGTAAGCACAACAATGCTGCTAGACATATGTCATTAGCACAGGGCTGGAATATCCTGTATGTTCCCTGGTCCCTCCTCAGAAGTGTGAAATTGCAGCAGTGTTAGAATTACCAGTTTGTTGGGGTTTTGGGGGGTTTTGTTTGTTTGGTGTGGGGTTATTTCTGGTGTTTTGTTTTTTCGTGGGAGGTTTAGTTGGGGGTTTTTTTCCTGTTTTTTTGTTTTGTGGGGTTTGGTGGGTTTTGTTTTGTTTTTAAGAAACACCATAAAACACTCGACATTCAATAATTCAAGACTTCCTACTATTTCTAGAAGCTCTTTGGATCTGCCATGTTCCATTACCTTCCCATTTTTCCCAATTTTGCAAAAGACATTATGTCTATCTGGAAAGCGGTCTCACGTCATACCAATTACAGAATCTATAAAAAAATGGTTTTGGCACACAAGGCTAGCCACTCTCTTTCTGGATTCCATTTTCCCATCTTTTCTGAGTACCATCTAAATGCAAACTACTTTAATGCAAACCTGAGAGATTTTCTAATACAGTCCACTGTAACAAAGATATAATTGCCTCTAAGTACACATTTGGTGGCACAAAACTAAAAAGCAATGAAGAAAAGAGCCTACCTCCTTCTTAGGAAACCTTGTTGGGAAATGAAGCAACTCATAAGCTGTTTTCCTGGTGATGCTGGGATCAAGAATCCTGATTTGACTAGATTTGTATATCATATTCTTAGCCGGTTTCTTCCAAAAGCCTTTATCACTCTGTAACAGGTACGTAAATATACATTTTTAATGGCTATAAATAGCTGAATTTAGTTTTGTAGCTAATGAGTGTAAACTCTGAGGGCATGAGGTAAAGGAAGAAGAGGAGTGCTGAACCTCCAGAAGTTCAAAAACACCTGCTCCTTCAACAGGATAACCCACTGCAGCAGCAGCGGTTGGGTCCAGTTGGCTGGAAAACAGCAGAAAGATCCCTAATGAACAACTCATACCAACAGCATGCCCTGGAAGCAGTAAATGTTCACTGTGTGCTTGGACACATTAGGTACAGCATAGACAACAGGCAGACAGAAGTTATTGTTCTCAAGTACTTTGTACTGTCTGAAGGATGTATGGCAAAATATCAGACAGCGCTAGGAAGAGAATAAAAATATATTTCCCAGAGGAAAACTGCTTTGTGGTGAGGAACTGATCAAATATGTGCATCAGAGAGAAGACAGAAGCATTTATGGGAAAGATATTAAACAGACTGACTAGGAGATCAAGTGCTCCCCTGAGTTAGGAGGACTGAGGTTAAAAGCAAACGTATTTTCCGTGAGAGACGTGTGGCAAGATGAGCCAAGGTGCATGAACAATTGAACTCACTATTTTCTGACCACTTAGGATCTTCCAAAGCCACTTCAAGTCACGTGGTTTGAAGACGATGAGAACCACAGTTGTGTTAGGGTCGTAGTGGATCGGATCTGAGAACATAGATTCTGGGTAAGAAAGGCGGAAAGTCGTCCTCCTCCCAACATCCTCTTCGTGCCCTATAACAGGGCCATTATTCATCCTGCAGAAGGCACAGGACAGAGACACACACAGACATCAATGACTACCCCACCACACCCTTACCATGCGGTATCTGGCACTCACATTAGTCCGTGGCACAGACAGCATGTCTAGGGACAGGGAAGTTTACCAGCCCAGCATTTACTTATCACATTACACAGTAGATGAGCAATTATCAGGTGCACTCACCCTCTAAACTCAGAGGGATCAAGCATATATGGGATCTTGGCCAAGATGGTTTAGAATACAATCACACAATTGCTTATCATGTGTCACTCAAGCAGAAGGCCTTCCGATTTGGCTCAAACACAGAAACTAGAGAAGGGCAAAGAAAATATCTGGCTTGGAGAAGCACCCATTGCTCCATGTACACAATTTGAAAAGGAGATACCATTTACCTTATTATGACGTCATATGAATCAATTTTCTCCCCTAATGTTTTATTTCGAAGTACTCCTCCATTACCGACGACAACACACCGACGACAGGCAATGCTGTGGAACAAACGGAAGTTTTAACAGCCATTACTTCCCTGGCTTCATATTATTAATTATACATCTGCATTTAACTGGCTTATTTTCTAACTGAGATCCAGTATCTTTTACAGTCCTGGCCCCTACAAAGCAGACTCAATCCTGTATCATCTACTACGGCTGCTTTCAAAAAAAGAAAAAGCAGCTGCACTATTTCAAGGACTCTCAAAGTCAGGAATTGGCTTCTCTCATGTGAAACTGCTTTTACACACATAATTTTTCTCATGGTTTGCTGTTTAAGATCATCTAACCAGCTGGTGATATGGGGGCCATTACATAAATTATCTTCCACAGTGCTTCAAACTTTTTGCAGTCTGGGAGTATCAACCAGGACAGAGTATGCCTGGAAAAACTAACTCAAATTAAGGTGCTCCACAACACTGCATAACTCCACAACTCAGGAGATCTCCAACATGAGCTAAAGCATCAAGATTTATGTTCACAATTTACCTTACAGACTGTACATGTGAAAAACCTTCGCCCAGTGACGTGACGGCTTTTCAAATGCATATGATCTTGTTTTTTCTCCCTTTACTTAAGAAGTGCTGTCTAAACACGTTTCAACATGTGCTGAATTTCATGCTGTCATGACATAACAAGGCAGATTCACTTGATTAGAAGTTCCATTCTCATATGACCAGATTCAAATCAGACAGCACTACTAAGTATATAAAATGCTGCAAGTTAAAAATAAGATCCTAAAAATGACCTCAAATCAAAACTGTAATTCCTTCTGAATTTACATTATATTCGGAGCTAAAGAGCACCCAAGAAAGGCACTATATAGATGTTAAACTTATGAAAGTAAATTCTAATGGTAAGACTTTCAAAGTTATCCCAGGTTTTCTACGTGCATATTTTGCTTTCTAATGCCTTATTACAATGCTAGTAAAATGTCTGCTTTGTTTAAAAAAAAAAAATAAGGGGGAGCTCACAGACAGGCTTGCTGTTGTTTTACTCAAGATATTTTGCCTTTTTAGAGAAGGTTTACATTCAATGTATAAGACGGCAAACTCCTCCTTACAGAATAAGCACAACAGTTTTTGTTGTTGCAAAAATGCTTCTTTATTTAGAGCAAAAGCCGTTCAATTTGGTTGCAGCAGGAACAATGGGAAAATGAAAACACTGGTATTTTCTTCAGACACAAGCTCACTGTTTGTTTGTTTACTGAGGATGAGTCACCTCACAATGTCCCACTCTCTTGATTCTTTCTTCAGGTAAAAAAAGGCTCTGTGTCATTTCTTGCTCTAGGTTCGGGACACCAAGACTGTGTCCCAAAGAATACTATAATTGGTGTTAAATGCCCAGTGTGGCACTTCATGCACACTAATTAACATCTTTCTCCTCAGACAGTCCAACCTGCTTTTTCAGCTGAGAATATTATTCAACATCAATGAAAACAGCCTGCTCCACCCAAGACTGACCAACATCTCAACGTACAAAGCAATTCTCTGTACCTCCTACAGAATTAACAACATCTGCAGAGGGAGCTGCCTTTAAATATATATAAATATAAATAGTGCTCTAAATGCAGCTTTCAGGGTTGGATGACATGGAAAAAGCTGGCACACCTTTCTTTAGTGTTTCCTGAACTGCTTAGTAAAAGGCAAGCATTCATAAAAAGATTTCCAGCTAATACCATAAATCATGTGACTTTGTACCTCTGAAATAAGAGGCGTAAAAACCTGTTACACCATCCTGTCCCTCAGTATGCTCAATCCCTCTACACCTATAAAACCCCTCCACCTCTCTACTCCTTCAGCCCATTCATTTTCCATTTAGTTTTTATATCTAGTTTTAAGATATACTGAGAAAGCCAGCTGACAAAACATATGCTTCTTACTAAGTTGACAGCAGGAGAAAGCAGAAGTTGCCCTTTTCCTGAATTACACATTGTTACTTAACAGCTACAGCATAGAGCTCAAAGTAAGGAAGGAAAAAGGAAAACTGGACAAAAAAACTTGATCAGTAAGTGATGAAGGTGGAATGAGGGAGCGGGGCAAAAAGCACAGAATTAGCATATGATTGTACCGTGTTTTCCTGGCATTTACAGTGTGCATCTGTAAATCACTGAAAGTTTCAATCACCTCAAATCTCTGAATTCACTGTCACCAAAAGTCACACGGCTGCACCTGGTTAACTGAGGCACAAACCTCATCTCCACAACGCAAATCCTAAACTGCAACTCATATTCCATCTCCCCCTGCTCCCTCCTGGCTACAGCCTCCATCCCTGATGCTTGGTGGATACCCTGGAGCGACAGTGACTGACACACCATGCATGAACTCATGTCAGGTCTCAATAAAAAGCCAGAAAAACTGCTTTTCATCTTGCCGAATACTTTCTTTTATGCCTTCTGACTGCTTGGTGCGAATTCACAAAAACGGTGTCAACTCCATTACAAGTGATTTGTATTATTCTGACCATGACAAGCAACCACAAAGTTACTTCGAGGAGGCACTGCCTTTTCTGTCCCTTGGAGATGAATTAAAGAGATTCTTTATTACACCCTTCCAATTTTTGGCAGAGGCTGTGCTTTAAGAAGCTTCCTCACTGAGTTAATCCTTAGCTATTGAAATAATGCCTTTCAGTCTGGCATACAACTGAAGAGCTCTTTGGTTTCTCCTCTCTGCACTGTACAGTCACAATGCACAGGACACACTCAGGGCAGGGAGGGCAAAATAAAACATGACTTGAGCTGAACAACTGAGGTTCACTTAGCTACAGAAGCTATGCTGCTGCTCTCAGGTCAAATCCAAACTCTCTTTCCTCTTACTGACAAATGCAGACCATATTTTTTGTTTGTGATTAAGAGCTAACTACTTGGACAGAAAATGAAGTGAAATTTGAAGTTTGATTAATCTTTTGAACTCCAGTTCGCTTTGCAATGTGCATACTCAAAAATAAAGTTATCAGCTACCTTCAAATACCCCATAAAACATCTAACTGGTATTTGAACTTTTAAAATGGATAAAGTCAACATGCAGATCAAATATTCTTGGAGAATTGTACATGAATACAGTCAAATACAAACAAACAAATTAGAATCTCTACCAAGCTCAGGGAGTCAAAGCAGCCTAACAGAAAAGTCAAACAGGAAATCTGGCACAAATGTGCCATTTCGGAATCGCCTGCTTCCCTTACCTTTCCTCTTCCCCCCCCAGTATTCAAGTGTCTTCAGTTACAATAGTAAGTCTAAGTCCCCAGTGACACAGAGTCCACTGACAACAATGAGCAGGGAGGAAAATGATTTATGTAAAAAACAGAACATAATATCACAGAAACTAACATATGACGTGGAGATAAAGAATATACAGCAAGGTTGGATTGTATTCAGATACTTAAGTTAAACAAACTGACCTGTACTTACTGCACATCACAGAAGTCAAGACATCAATTTTCAGCAGACTCTTACTCCCAGATATTTTGCCAACTCCACTTTTTACAAGTTTCCTTCTTCATAATGTTTTCAAATTAAAAACCCCCAAATACTCACCCTTTCTCCAAGTCAATAAATGGACAAGAAGAGAAATAAATTCAGATGTCCTTAAACAACATCAGGTGTGCTACGAGTGAAATATACACTGAAGTGTCTGGAGGTTCAGCTTACAACCACCAGCACAACATTCATGACAATATTCATGAAAAATAGTAAGATCTTGGCTGTAAAAATAGCTATAGCAAAAGTCTGAGTAACTAAGGGATTGCCTTTAGGTGTTAGAGATCTATTTAAGAGTATAAATGGATCCTGATGCAAACAGCGTGGCAACTGATCTCCAATGTCTACATGCACCAGTCACTCAAACCGCTACCCTATTCATGTGGTGTACAAGAGCCTCAACCTCAAGGCCAGGTGTTAGTTTACATATTTTGTTTATATAGTAAAGTGTTAAAAGGAACATGTTCCTAGTCTATAAAAGAAAAATATTGCTAAATGGAAATGTAGCCTTTAAAAGTCAAAAGGCTTGCATCATCCACATTCCACTGAAATACTGTTTCTGTGGAAAAAGAAAAAGATCTCAACCTCAGTTCCTTTAACACACACCCCCTTATAGTCAGTTGAGGAATGCAAATTATTTCCTTTGAGGTTATTGGTGAAAGGAGGATGCAGAGGTCACATTTTGTTGACTGAGGATTGTGTAAATGCATTTGTAATAGCTACTGAGCTTAGAGTCCTGAGAATACCCAGAGAGGAACTGAAGTCACAACTGAACTGGAATCAGTGACACTGTTCATTTCCAAACAGTTTTGGAGAACTACACCTTCACACAGTGAGAACTCGACCTAAGTTTGGACAATAGCACTATTTGGAAAAAAAATCCTTTATAGCTCATTATATACAGTTTTACTTAAGTTGTACACAAATACAGCCATAGATTTGGTGCTCATACAACCTAATGGCCAGTCTTCGCGAGCGAAGATTTGGGAAAGGTCATTAACCCTTCGAGCCTGCGCAGTGGATTTTTTAGGTGAGACACAGTGTGCGCTGAACTGAGCCCACCCTTTAATCCTGAGGTTCATCTGCCGGGGCCGAGCAAGCTTGGACAGTGGCAGTGAGGTCCCCAGGACGTAGGTTTGTTTAGAGTGACCTTCTCTTAGATGGATTGCCACACAGGGCTGACGAGCTCCATCTGCCCGGGGGGCTGGGAATTGAACCCGGGTCGCAGTGGTGAGAGTCCTGCACCCTAACCACTAGACCACCAGAGGCCCCTCATACAACCTAGTATTTGTTAAAAAAAAAAAAAAAACAGTTTATAGCGGATTCCCCCACCCTGACTAAAAAATTTTTTTAAAAGGGAAATTTGGTTTGTGTTCTGACAAGAAGGCTGAATTAGGCAACAGCCTAATAATTCTGTATTACTGAAGAATGTTGTCAGGATTAATTCCCAAAACGTTTCATTTTAAAAGCAACTGCATCTCAGTGAAATGTATACATAAAAGTTCTTCCCTACTACAGTGACTCATGCCCTAAGAGTGCTATACACAAAACCTGATGGATCTAGAAAGAATACAAAGTATGAACTCACTGTGCGCTTGATTTGCTTATCCTACTGCCTATTAAATAGCAATAGCTCTCATTTTGCTTCAGTACCACTGAACTGCATTATTTTTAATAAAATGAAGCATATTTCCCAGAACCATCAAAGGATAAATACCAATTACTTTGCTTCTCATCTACAGGACAAATACATTTTAAAAGTACTATGCTGTACTGGAAGCATCTCTCCTTTACAGCCTGAACAATTACAGAGCTGAACTTATGACTTCAGAAAATTTCTAATACAACATTTGGCACTCTCCTTCAAACTTCAGACAAAAGATGACCTTTTTCAGCCAGTTCTGTATAAATTTCCCCAACTATCACCCTCCTGATAGCAAATGGGGGGAGTTACTTTTTTTTCCCCTTTTCTTAAGAATAAACCTGAACATCCTAGAACCAGATACTAAACATGGTGAAAGGACGGAGTACAGTAGGCAAAGAAAAAATGGTTATTAAAACCAGTTCTTAGGTGTGAACAGACTCCACCCAAGCTAGATTAAAATGTGATCCTGACGTGTGGCTTGAAGCAGCAATCTTGTATGATCTGAAGTAAAAAAACCAAAACCAAGAACAGCCAACTTTAGCCTTATTTGCATTCAGCTCTATTAAGGAGTCTGTGTATTAACATATTTGGCAGGTTGTCAGCCAGTTTGCTAGATTGCAAATCTAATGAGTCATTTGCATCACTTTGTAAACACAGGATTTTAGTCTACTTGCCAACACTACTACACTACCTCCAAAAATACCCCAACCAAAACCAAACCAAAAAAAACTCCAACAAGACACACACACACAGAAAGATCCTCCAAAATCAAACAAAAAATCCTAGGAGAAGTGGCTTCTAACAAGAGGTTTAATCAAGGCAATCTAATCCATGGGAAGCAAGTTATCTAAGGCACCGTCTGCTCCATGCCACACCCTCGTTACTCCAAAAACGCAGGAGCAGCCTTTCCTGTCTGCCTATGTCTCTCTCATTCACAAGGGAAGGAAGCTGAGCACATGTACAAAGAAGGGTGTGCAGCAGCCAGAGGATGCAGAGGCACAGGGATATGCATAAGATTTCTTTTACACAGAAGCAGCCATTGGTTTGCATCTGCCTATCTCAAACAGTGTCCATCTTATGCAAATAACGACTGAAAGCGGAGCTCACACTCAGCTTTCAAGAATAAAAAGATACTAAGGAAGATGGGACCACATTCAGCCAGCAAATTCCTAACACACTCACAAAAAGAAATCTCTAAGTTGAAACTCCTTCACAGAAAAATTATTCTTGAATGCTGGTGCTATGTGTGTAAACCTAAGCTTATTTAAATCTCGGAATCGGTTATACAGTCGGTCTGATCTGTATCTTGGTTAACTTGGGCAATTTCAGGATAACACCACTGACATTCCTTTTCAGGTAAGTACCAAATATAAAAAAATGAAATTAACAGAAACAGTATCAAATAAATTAACTCACTTGTCATCTTCATTGGAAAGTCCACAGCTCTCCAGTCTTGAAAGGGCTAAACGAAAAAATTGCTCTAGAAGGCAAATATAAAGAAGATTAATGAAAACATTCAGTATTTGCCGATACAAAAATAAGCATGTCACCCTGACTACAGTATTTTCATACATATTAGTTTTACATTCACTGAGCATAAAAAACTCAGCATAAGAATACTTGGAATTTAGGGCCACAGGTCAGTCAATGATGCCAAAGAAATTCAGGTTTATCGGAGCTCCTCTCTTAGTTCATCCTGCCCCCATACTTCCCTGTTGGAAAATATCATGGGATTTGTATAAAAAATAAATCCTAGTTACAGTAAGTAAGAATTGGAAGAATTTCCAAGACCTACATTCTCACTGACTTCGTTTTTTCTTCCACCCACCTTCAGATGAAACAGAAGCAGCCCTGACCCAAGAGGGGTCATACACGCAGGGACAGTAAAAGCATTACCTATCGTGGAAGACAACATCAAACCAGCCTGTGCTCACCGGCAAAGCTGGGCAGAGGCATCTTCCCAGCCCTCCCTCGGTGGGCAGGCTCCTGATGGACATTCAATTTGCCTCAGAGGAAGCCTCAACTCTTTCCCAAATGTGCTTTTCCACGCTGTAAACCCAGAGGTGCAGGAAAAATTGCACCATCCCTGTTACGCTGATGAAGGCCAAATCAAGAATCTAAAGCTGGGACCCACAGGGTACTTGGAAGGTGCACTATTCAGTGTTAAAAACTTCAGACTTCTTGTGCACCTGTTCGCTGGCAGAGCATGGGAAACTGAAAAGTCCTTGACTTAGGGTAAGCACTACTTAGCAGCAAGTAAAACATCCATGTGCTAGCAACACTATTCTCATGCTGAATCCAAAACACAGCACTGTACCACGTACTAAGAAGACAATTAACTCTAATCCAGCCAAAACCAGGACAGTAAAAGGAAAATTTCACTGATGTAACTACCCCAACCTGAGGACTTCTGCCTCAGTAGGACACTGCATCCCAGTCATCTTAGAGGTGTTGAATGAAGCACATCAGTTAATATCTGACCTAGCAAATCACTAGCTAAATATCTTTAGTATTCCAGCCCACATACAAACAAAAGGAAGTTGAATAAGGTCCACTCTTCCTCAGTCCCACCTTTTTGGAGCTCCTCTAGTGAGAGGGGCAATCCCAACACTGTGGTTTTTTGTTAGAAACAGAAAGGTGTCAGGTCAGAGGGACTAAATGAAACCATTAAGTCACTGCTAGACACCCCCAAAAGAATTGGCATCAGTGAACAGGAAAGACCAGGGCCAGATTTGGGGGGCTTACAAGACTTTTAGGAATTTCTGTTTAAAAACAAGGTACATGGAAACACTAACCTGCTCTCTTTATTCCATAAGGTAGTTCAAACTTATCGCTCCCTTGGAACTCTGCCACCCTGATAAAATCATTAGCACACAGGAATGGGTATATTTTGTCAACACTGAAAAAGAAAGAAGTTTCAAAAATCCACCTGATGCATCTGCATAAGCAAATAATTCATGCAATTGCTTCATAAAAAGCTTTCTTTATCCTACTATTGTAATTTTTATCCTATTACCAGTATCCATTTTTAAAAGAAGGAAATCCATGAACACAGGGAAAGCAAGAAGACCACAGAAAAGGGGAAGATCTTAGAAAATGTGCGTAAAGAGATAAAAAGATTTGTCTGCTAGTGTAAGTTATATAGAGTCATTAAAATCGTCACCAAAATTGTGTGACTGAAAGCACACCATTAGACCATATATTCAAGAGAATATATAACCCCAGGAAGACAATGAGCAACTTTGAAAAGTACATGACAGAGGCAAGCAAGGAAAATTAAGAGTTAGTATTGTATATGGCAATTTAATAAGTATGAATGGGATTTGAAACAAGGTGTTTTAACTTGAAAATACCACCTCCTGATTTGAGATGCACTCCCATTCCAAACAATGGCTCTGTTGACATTAATAAGTAGTTTGGGGCAACATGGGTATATCCATATAGCAAAAAAGTATGGAGTTCTCATGTCCACATTACATGCATATTAAGTATTTTTTATTCTGGACTAATTCTGATACGGTCCCATGGATTGAACACTCCTTAGCAGCTGCAGCACATCAGGCACGGTCCTGCAGTGCATCTTCTGGTTTAACCACATATGTGAAAGGAGCCCAGTGCACACATGCCAGGGCTACCCTGGGATGAGAAGTATGACACGAGGGGATCACAAGGAGGTTTGCCTCAAAAGCACATTCTTCCCACAAACCAGAACACAATGGCATGATGCCTTATGAGCATCAAGATAAAAATAATGAGTCACTTCTTTCTTCAAAAGACAGGAACCACAGACAAGGAATATCTCATAGCAGGGAAGTGACTCTTATTACCTTATCTGCCCAGTCTAGGCAAATGAATGAACAGTAGACACAAATGTCACATGCTACCATGCCCTTGGCTTCACCTTTGAATTAACTAAGCACACACTTACTGTACTGGTTGACTTTGTAGTGATCCTGCACACTAGGTCTTACATTATAATGTTAACACAGAAATATACAGTCATGAGAAAACCTAGTGCTAATCATAAAAACACCCACCCACCACAGTTGTTTTTCCATGAAGAACATTAACAGCTGTTAAGAAAACCTTTGTTCTCAGTTTCACAAACCAAGTATTTTCTTCTTTTTCTTTACCAACCACATATTCAAAAGATACTAACAATAAAAAGGAAAAAAATCCAAACTACAAAACACCACAGCCCACAAACCAAGAACTGGGCCAGAGGTTAACTAAGCAAGACCAACTAACTTCAAGACACGATGCACTAAACACTCATAATAATTTAGTAACTTGCCTTAAAGTTCAGAAGCAGCTGGTAACCTTAGACATAATAAATAATTTACCTACTGCAAAGAGATTCGTAATTCTAGCTCTGGTTCCTTTCCAACAAATAATTCAGCAAGGTGAGAAATCCTTTCAACCTCCCCAGGCTATTACCAAAGTGCACAGAACAGATCTTCAGCTCATGCAAACTGTCTCAGTAAAGGAGCTACAGAAACGTACGAAAGACTTTGCCCTAGCTCTGTGTGTAGCTTCTTGCTGTGCACCTCTGAGCTCATTCCTGCACCCTTGCTGAGCACCAGTTATCCTGCTGTGCCCAACACACAGACAGCCTGGGTATAATCTGTGGGCAAGGGGAACTCGGATCACCTCCCTGGACCAGGAGCTAACCAAAACTCACAGACTACAAGTCTGCTTTGGGTAGGACAAATTTTACACCCTTCCGTGTTCTTTAAAAAGAAACAACGTGATAGACACATTTTCTTGTACACAAAAAGTACCAGGGGAAAAAGAAAAGCCATGGTGTCTTTGTGCAGAGCTTTAAGACTTCTTCAGCCAGGCCTTAGTCTAAACATCTTACCAAGCTTTCTCAAGGCATTACTCAATGTTTGCTCCAAAACATGTAAATAGCCCAATCAGCACAGCCTTTCCTTCCCCCCCCAGTTCCCACAGAAGACTCACCCCAGTAAAGATTCAAATGCTGGTTTCAGGAGACAAGTGTCCAGCGCGCTCCTTCTCTCCACAGCTGTAGGTGGCAGCCTGCAAAAGAAGAATTTCAAACAAATAGTAAGAACAGGAATGGGTTGCAGAAACTAGGTAGGGAAACTTGGACAAACTAAAGTAGTAAAAGCTGATTACTGAGCTAATGTCACACCAAATTTTCATGACTCCCTCTGCCTGTGTTCTAAAGACAGAACTTTCTCGTTGCAGCACAACTACTTTTACTAGTAAAGACTTTTATCTCACAGTGCTGTTCCAAAGGGTCTGCAACCTCCCTTGCTCAGCAAGTATCAAAGCAGGCATAACCAGAGCAGAGAACTCAGGCCCATCTCCAGAGAAGCAGGACACACAGGCTGAATCACCCCTGCAGCCATACAAGATGGCATCCCCAGCGCTCCTCAGAGAAGAGATGGAGTCTTGTTTGGAGAGGGAAACAGACAGCACTACATAGGGTACTTTAAGGAAAATGAGATTCTTTGGGGATAAGTCATTCCTCTCATAATAAGACTAAAACTTACACGCCTAAGCACATTCCCGCCTTGGTGATTTAGCCCAATTAATCACAAATATGAAGCCCAGAAGGGAAGGTAAAGTTCAATGTGAGCAACGTGTGCATCTGGGCTGCATTAAGAACAGAAGGATGAAACCACCACATTAGAACCATAAGTCAAACAGACCATTAAGGTTAGTTGCTTTTGGTAACCTCAAGTTGTCATGTGAATACTGACACTGAGAAAGCACCCTGTAAAATCTATCAGCTCTCGCCACCTTGCTGCTTCCCAGCATCAGCCTCACAGATGGCATTTTGCAGCATGGCTTCAGAGAGAACAGATGACTGCTTTTAAGCTTTAACATAGGTGCTCATTAGTCCCACAAACCTAACTGCAGGAATTCACTAGCACAGGATCTGCTTATACAGGCACTTGCACTTCGCAAGTAAAACACACCTCTGATTTAATAAATTTTAAGCACAAAAGTTGCACTCTTAGCTCTGTTGATTTTATTCAGGTATAATTCAGAACTGCAAAAATTTGGAAAGTGTAAACCAATGTCCTTCCAACAATTCACTGTTTGTTACAGACAGTCATTGGAAGTGGCCATTAATATTAAACAAACACTGGAAACATGACATAAGACAAATTTCTTTCTGACAGACATGTTACCATTGTGTTCATAACAGAAACAGCCACCGGACACAGCTGTACAATAACCAACTGAACAGGGAGCCTATGGACAAAGGCTACAGATTTTAGCCTCAATCCCTCCCACCTGCCCAAAAACCAACCAAAAATAAAACCCACAAAAATACTCAACTGCTGAACTTACTGGGTAACTCCACTAGTCTCATAGGAAGGAGAAGCCCCCACAGAGGAAGTCTGTCCATAAAAGCTAATCCTGCAAAAAGGGAAATTTCATAACAGTGTGGTTTGCTGTGAACAGAAACCACAATAGAAAGCTATTTGTATTAACTGTATGCTATAAACAAGATAAAAGGAGGTATATCAATCACTACTTTTAAAAGCTATCACTATTATCTTCATAACACTCTGGTCAGTCCTGGTCACAGCTGTGTAAATGCCAGTGGAAACTCAACTTCTTCAAATAAGTGCCCTGAATTTTAGGTCCCAAGCCACTTGTTCCGTGAGTCTGGAGACAGTGAAGGGTCACTGCCCACAAGGGTTGCCACTGGACAAACTTCAGCTCTGCAAAAGGTGCCCACCACACCTGCAGTTATTCCCATGAGCAGAGAAGGCCTCTCCCACGTCACTTATCAGACACTTAAAGAACAAACTAACACTAAACACGCATGGGGTACAGGGAGATATGGACACATGACACACAGAGATAAGGTATCTCCTCACCGGAACACCCATTTTCATGAACCTCAGAGGGACTCCCTATCTGTGAGGTCCTGACCTCTCCATACAATCAGGCTCAAACTGATTACTAGGTTTAAAAGTGACACAAGGGGAGACAGGACAGAATGATCATATTGATTCCCTTACAGTACAAAAAAAACCCAGGCACAAAACAAACACACAGAGACAGAGTAGTAATGACTTCTGTTGATCACTGGTAAACAGTTAAAGAGCAACACAGCAACTCACAGCCACATCTTTCATACAGCCATGAGGTGTCTGAACAAAACATCACCATACCAGTAGAGGTTATTTCTCCACAGATTTCCATGCAGTATACCATACATAACAGCAGCAGCCAGGATAAAAAACAGAAGAATTCGTTTCATGACTGGTAGACCTGAAACACAAGAAAAACAAAACAAGAAATTTAAACCCAAGATAAGCTATTACATGAACTTTTCTAAAGCATCTGGAAATCTACAAAAGGAAGGTATTATTATTACAGCCATTCTCCACCACCACAGATCTGACTGGAGATCACTCCACTTTGACTTTTCACACACCAGAGACAGGAGCTGAACGCTGGTTTGCACCTACCACATGTGCCCACACTGCACAAAGCTCTGAGAGGGGTTCACTCAAGGTTCTCTCTGAAGACACGGGAGGAAGATGGGCTCTTCCAGAAGCATGTCAAGAGTAGAAACTCTTTTCTGTTCACTAGCAGCCCAACCAAACTAGACTCTTGGGTCAGCAGCTGGCCTTTTATAGGCACCTATGCTTCTCTCCCTTCTTGTTCCACACGCTATCACTTTCCATAATTACACAGTTAAACAAGCACTGGCACTCTCCAGGAGGTAGATAGGCTGATGAAACAGAACAGGGTACGAGCTGCCACAAATTTCTACCAGCTTTTTTAGGATGACTGAATGTTCTTGAAGTCCAGTTTTGACATTTAAAATTGCACTGAAGCTACTTGCTTTTGCCTGCACAGCCTCCAGCTCCTGACATAGGCCAAACTTCATTGCTCAAGTGACAGAAAAATGTTACTTTCAAACATTGCTAAGTGAGGAAGAAAAGTTAAACTTACTAAGTTATGGAAAAATATCACCAAAAGTGTTCATTTCTCAAACAGAGTTTGCACCTCATTGCACAGTCTGGTAAAAAAAAAAGAGAAATATCAGAAATGCATGCATCTGGCAAGACATACCGAGGGAAAATCAAGTTCCTTATTTCTCACATCCTAGACAGTGAGCTGCTTTTTCAGTAGCTATGAATGAACTGTTGTTGGTCAATCTCATGAAAGTCCAAAATAGCCATTCTGGCCACAAGTTACTGGGGAAATTTACTTGACAGCTATGGCCTTGCACTACTTTCACTCCTTCTCCATCACAGTAAGCAGGTTCAAACCACACAATGCATATATACCTACCTGCCTATCTGCATTTTAAAGGGAACATAACAAACAGCTGTCCAGTAAAATAAGTCATATCCAAACATACTGCTGCATTTTCCAAGAGCAAAACATCTGCCTTTATGGCTCATTCTTTTGACTTTTTTTTTTTAATTTTTCTTCTTTTTAACTCTGTTTTGCTTTTTGGAGTATTTAGAGTTGCTGCTATTTTAAACAGCCCCAAGGCAATAAAACTAAAGGTGGATATAGTTCAAGTGATTTATAGCAATATGCTGTATGCTAGTAATATCTTGATATCCCACCTTAAAGGCCAAGAAACTGCTGCTGCTTTTTTGTTATTAGAAACTGAAAAGCAAATTACTGCCACTCATGTATCTTTATCCCTGAGGAAATACCTGACAGTGAACTATTTGTTATATTTACTTGAGTGTAAGAACCCACCACTTCTTTATTCTTTTATCACCTATATTCTTCACCAGCCTTTAGCAGTAGAGTCAGAGATACCAGTAACAAAGCCATGCAACAAACAAGGCAGAATCTAGGAAGCTTAAGTATGTTCTCCAGGCTATCCTACTCTGTTCTAGACAAAATACTCATAGGCTGCAGCTGTTGCAACTTCAACCTTTCAGGCCTCCTTGGGAATTAGCACTGCTTCCCTTCAGCTCCAACTCCCTTGATGCTTCTTGAAGGGTCACTGCAAATTTGTCTTGACGGTCACTTTCAGCTTTAGCACAATCTCTTTGTTTTAGCAATAATTCTGTAAGAATCATTCCCTAAAAGTGCAATAACATTACAAGAAAACTCACCTACTGAGTTCAGTCAAGTGTCATCAACAGCAATTGGCTCATAATCCTGAGGGCCATCACACGGCACGTACAGGACAACCGAGGGATCAGGCCCAGCCTGCATGGGTTTAGGAAAGGCAGGTCCTGCTTGACCAACCTGATCTCCTTGTATAACAGCGTGTCCTGCATGAAGGATGAGGGAAAGGCTGTTTATGCTGTCTACCTAGACCTTTGTAAAGCTTAGACATCATTTCCTACAGCACTCTCTTAGAGAAACTGGCTGTTCATGGCTTGGATGGGTGTGCTCTCCACTGGATTAAAAGCTGGCTGGCTGGCCAAGCCCAAGTAGAGGTGGTGGAGTTACATCCAACAGTCACTAGTGGGGTTCCCCAGGGCTCAGCGTTCGGACCAGTCCTGTCTAATATCTTTAAAAGCAGGATATGGTCTGGACAAGGAGATAGGGTGCACTCTGTCACTCTGCAGACAACAGAGTTGGGTGGGAGTGTTGATGTGCTGGAGAATAGGAGGGCTCTGCAGAGGTATCTGGACAGATCAGAAGGATGGGCCAAGGCCAATGCTATAAGGTTCAATAGGGCCAAGTGTCAGGTCCTGTCCTTGGCTCACAACAACCCCCATGCAGTGCTACAGGCTTGGGGCAGTTGCTGGAAAACTGCCTGATGGAAAAGGCCCTGGGGGTGCTGTTTGACAGCAGCTGAACATGAGTCATCAGTGTGCTCAGGGGGCCAAGACGACCAATAGTATCCTGTCTTGGATCACAGACAGTGTGGTCAGCAGGACCAGGGGCGCGATTGTCCCTCTGTACTCAGCACTGGTGAGGCCACATCTTGAATTCTGTGTTCAGTTTTGGGCCGAGAATAAAGACACTGAGGTGCCAGAGCACATCCAGAGAAAGGCAAAGTTGCTGAAGAGTTTGGAGAAGAGGCTCAGTGGGGACCTTACTGCTCTCCCCAACTACTTCAATGGCGGGGTGTGGTGAGGTGGGAGTCTGTCTCTTCTCCCAGGGAACAAGTCAAAGCATAATAGGAAATGGCCCCAAGTTGTGCCAGAGGAGGTTTAGATTGGATATTAGGAAAACTATTTTCACTGAAAGAGTTGTTAATCAGTGGAACAGGCTGCCTAGGGAAGCAGCTGAGTCACCATCTCTGGAGGTATTTAAAAGTCATGTATATGTGGTCCTTAGGAACATGGTTGACAGGTAGATGTGGCAGTGCTGGGCTAATGTTTGGACTCCTCGGTCTTAAAGATCTTTCCCAACCTATGTGATTCTATGATTTACTGCACTTTAGCTTTTTTCCTTTCACTGTCAGTATCTTTACCACCTCCTGCTTTGCAAAAGTTTGCCAAAACATCCCACTAAAGTGAAAATCAACTGTTTACTTTTTACTCCCTAATTCAATCAATGCAAACTTCAGTTGAACAGAACATAAGAAAGTAGCTCTTCAGATAAAGTTGCTAAATTAACAACTGATTAAATTGCTCATTTTGGTGACTTCAGTGTAAGAAAGAACCTTGCTGAAGAATCAGACCAAGCTACAAAACAGAGAAAAGACAAGACAAAGCTGCCCATGAAGAGTCTTTTCAAAACAAAAATATTATTCGTAACAGTATTATTCACAGGGGGGGAAAACTGTTCCACTTGAAATATTTATAAAGCTGTGAGTACAGCCTAGAAAGAAAAAAATCATTGAAACAAGAGAACATAAGTCAGCAGCATTCTTCCAAAGAATCACAAGGGATCTGTAACAACCTTCAGTGTCTTATGTAGGACACTCAGCCCAGCACACACATGATAATGGGTCCACCCCAGCTCCAAACAACCCATCATTAAGAGCGTACCTAACTCAGCTCTTAGAAAGATAAAAAATGGTCTTTAATTATACAAGTGTCTCCTCACCATCCCATCCCCCAGTGCCTGGCTTCATTCCCTGTTTGAAGAGAGAGTTCTGTAGTCAAGAAAGACGATCTTCTTAGTGAAGACTTTCTTAATCTGGTTTAGTAAACAAAACCATTGCCTTGTTTACAGAAGAAATTATTCTGTGTGTATTTTTAATGGTGGCAGAATTTTCCAGCTCTCCCTTCCTATTTTAAAACAGCTGAGTGTTACAGAAAGTTAACCAAAGGAAAACATATTCCTACGATGCAGATACTGCACTAGAGAATTCCCACAGTTAGAGACGCGAGAGAACAGGCAATTTGAGAAGACACAGTTCGGATGTAAAACAACAATCCCTTCCAACTTATTTATGTCAATACAACTATCGGCATGTTGATTTAAGCTCATCAACCCAAATGTCAGAGGTCATGGTGCCCTTAGGTCAATGTCAATCAGGATTAAGCAAAACAAGGAGGACAAAGCTGAAACTCAACTCTTCAGTTCCCCCCTCCTTATAAAAAGCCAACAGTGGCCTCCTCAATGGAAGGAGCAAGGAGTACAGCCTGATGATCACGGTGTTAGCTGGTCAGTTTTCTGAAAGCAAGCAAGCAATGCGATGTATGTTGCAAAAGACTGATAAGCATTTTTTAGTAAGAATCTAAGCTAACTTCTGTGGCTCTATTTCCTACCTCTCCCAAAGCAGAGCTACAATTACAGAATTAGACAAGACTGACTTTGTTATACTATTAAGAGACCTCAGAGATCAGCCTGTGTCTCCTACTGAGAGACAGATGTGCCTCAGCTCCCATCAACCCACCAGAAAGACTGATTTGGGTATATGATCAATTAGCTATATAAAACCTGAGGCTAATATTTTCTGCCCCTGGTGGAAGTGGGGAACCCAAACCCACACCCTTGTCAGAGCTGCATCTTTATTCTGGTACAGTGTGGTGGAATCTGGTATGAGCCACTATCTCAGAGCCTCTGTTTATCTTCCAACTTACATATGCTATTGATGCAGCCATGCCACAGAATAAAATAACCCTGCAGGAATCTACAGCTGTTGGACTGGGGAATCAAACAACCACACTATGATCACCTTTTTTTCCATAATTTTTATTATTCCTTTTGCTTTATTCCTTAAAAATTAGGTTGTTAATAACATAATGCAGTAGGCTTTTCCATTTGTCCTATGTATTTTGTAAAGCACCTTTGACTACTACTAAAGAGTTAATAATATTTAACTAAAAAGTGGTTACTAGTAAATTAAATACTACTCATCTTAAAACAATCTTGAACTGTCACAAGACTAGGTAACTTCTCACAACTGTAATTAACTGACAGCCTGAAAACTTCAGCTCGCTCAGACCTCAAATTCCTAAGCCTTGTGTTGTGGGGGAGGAAGTAAGCTTGAAAATGTGCCTTAAGCAGACCTTGAAATTTAAAGCGACAGCGGAAAAAGAACATAAAAACCTAATAAAAATTTTAAAAGAAACATTGGGATTTTTAAGATGTAGTCAGTATTTTGTGGGTTTGCTTGTGATCACCACTTGCAGCACTGCTTCCTTTTGTTCAGGGTGTAGCACATGCCTGGTGAAACAACTATGCAGCAAAAGGACAACTAAAGAAGGAGTTTTCTCACGTCATCATCTTTTTCAGGTTAAGTTGTCAAAACATGAGCACATTATGGCACATATTTCTTCTGCCAAATCTAACCACTACTCATCTTTCAGTCTTCTAGTTCAGTTCTTGCTCTATGTGTGTGCATGGTTCATTGATTCTATAGCACTGCTGTAGAATTTTAAAGGCACTGAAGTGGCTGACTCAGTCTACTGCCTTCCCTCACATGCACCTGAAATTCTCATGGTTTCCAATAGTCTTTCTGATTTTATTAAGAAACAGACGTCCTCGGAAATACTGTTTAAATGAGATACATTAGGTTATCCTAGCAAAGTGGCTCGGAATTAAAACTGCATTTCTAACTCTCCAACAACAGACTTGGTTTTGAAATTGTAAGTCTAAATCATCTTAACTGGAAAAGATTCTTGCTAACCTGTCCTGCCT